GAAACCGAGTAAAAACAATATGTTCCCAAACTCCGTTTGGGGAACATAATAATAAGAAACAGAGTAAAAACAATATGTTCCCAAACTTCGTTTGGGGAACATAATAAGGCAGCAAAATTCAAATTCTCATTTCTCTACTAAGATTTTTACATCGGGCTCGGAGTTGGTTTTCTTCAGAAAGACAGGACTGGGTTCAAGGCGACTAGGGGTACCACACCGGTAATTGACCAATCAAAATGAACTTAGTCAATTGTAGGTCCATACATTAAGCCGATTTTCCTTTCTTTTGAGAGTTTTTTTAATTTCCTTCCAGGCCAGTTTGACAACTCTGGTACCTGTGCTTAGGAAATTTTATCTACTCTATAAATAAATAAAGTTTTTTGACAGGAACTATTTCTCCAGGGCATAGGAGGCTACTTCCTGGGGTGCTTTTGTGATGTTTATAAAGACATGGAAAACACGTGGATTTGAGGGTAGCCCTGTTTGCATATGCAAATAAATCAGAAAATGTCGTGTACGTACCCTGGTTTTTTGGTGTCAGCTAATGTGACAGGTATTGTTTAACACCCCCTTATCAATATTTCTTCATGAATTCAAACACGTGAGGTTTTACTGGAAAGAAACGTGTATTGCTTTTTAATATACCGAAACTCGCTATTTCTGGGGATTGTGTAATTCTAAAAAAAATTCAGATAAATTTCAATGGTGAAATAAAAGAAGAATGCTTGGTATTAAAATATTAATTCATATCAGTAGAATTGAATGCTATTAACGACATCTGGAGAAATAGGCTTTAAAAGGTTTATATCATATCTTTGTTCGTCTGCACTTAAATTTCAAACACGACAGAATTTGTAATTTTTGCCGTAAAAATTCATAATTTCTATATACTTTAGAGACTTACCGTAAAACTTTCAGGAAACTTTCTATGAAGTCTTTTCTGCACCTTAAGTGAAATTTTATGTCGATCCCGGGTGTTGATCGAGTTTCAGAGAAATTTTCTACGTTGTTATTGATTTTTTTTTTTAAGGAGAAGGGGGGGGGGGGGGTTGACTTTTTTATTCTAAGCATTTGTTAAAGTGAGTTTGTAAATACATCTACGAACTTGAGCTGGATTGTGACCTTTGGGTCAAGGGGTCAAAGGTCAAGGTCAAAGGTCAAGGTCATCAAAGCATTTCATAAAGAAATATAAAAGTAACGGCCATATCAAGTATACAAGTCATTTGATCATTGCACGCGCGCGAAGGTGCAATGCATGAAAGCTATATCATCGTGACTACACTTTTAATGTGTTTCTATTCTTTGAATTTTGAAACGTTTCATAAAAAAAATTACGACTATATCAAGTAAATCGGTCATTTAACGCATTGCGCGCGCACACGTGCATGCAAGTCCTTGCATTCAAGTTTGATAGTAGCATAATGTAAGAATCCGTCATATCTATTCATATTCTAAATTTCATCCTGTTTTGTTGAGAATCAAAAAAGTTATAGGCATTTAAAGTTTAAGCCAATCAGATCGCAGCACACGTGCATGGGCGTGGTTTCTTGAAAACTTTTATATATCATAGTTTAGGACGTATTAAGGTATGATTATGTTTTAAAATTCAAAGTATTTTGTCAAAAAACAAGTAAGATATTGAGATTTTTGTTTCAGCTAATCAGAGCAAAGCGCACGTGCATGCCCGTGCATGCATGTGCATGATGACCGTAACTTCTTATAGGAGTCTATTGTGTCTGTCTATGTTCTAAATCTTATCGTGGTTGGTTGAAAAACAAGGGAGTTACAGCCATTTGAAGTTTAAGCCAATCAGATTGCAGCGCACGTGCATGCGCATGCTTTAATGACAAATGTTATACATCATGTTGTAGGACATCTTAAAGAATGCTTATATTTTAAATTTCATTCCATTTCGTCAAAAAACGGAAAAGATATTGAGATTTTTGTTTCAGCCAATCAGAGCGAAGCGCACGTAAATGCGCGTGAGTTCTTGCTAATTTGACAGTGTCACATTATCTACACTATTAATATATCCTTATATAATGAGTTTCAAAGCATTTCATCGGAAAATGTTAAAGTTATGGCTATATTAAATATATTAGTCATTTCAGTCATTTCACGCGCACGCACGTGCAGGCGTATGCGCGCAAAATGACCTTCGTTCCGCACACCTACACAACACACCTATTAACCCTAAAAAGGTTTTAGCTCAGTTGGGTGAACAGTTTCTGAGAACACTCGCGGACAAAAAAGTACCGGAGAAGAAATAAGAAGAAAAAAGAATAATAATAATAACTAGTGCTAATTGTAACGGGGACCGTTACAGATGTTCCCCAAACGCTCCCCAACTCCCTTTTGGTGCCATATTCCCTGTAAGCTTCATTTATTAACACAAACTCTATGCATTTGAAATTTTAACAATGTTTACCCAGAAATGTACCATGCTCATTCAAATTTTAGCATTGCATGTGTGCGCATGTGAAGGCATATACGTAATGACCATATCATCTTGTCTACATAATCTATATATTTTAATATACTTAATATTAAAGTATTTAATCCAAAAGTATTAAAAAATTCGCTCATTCAAGTGTATTTTTGATTTTACCCATTTCACGTGCACGCACGTGCATACATGAGCATGGTGACCATACCTTCTTGTAGAAGTTCATTAAATCTATCTGTGTTTTAAATCCCATCCCGTTTGGTTGAAAACCAAGGGAGTTAAAACTGTTTAAAGTTTCAGCCAATCAGATTGCAGCTCACGTACACGCACGTGTATGCATGTGCATGGTGACCATACCTTATTGTAGAAGTCCATTTTATATATCTATGTTCCAATTCCCATCCTGTTTGGTTGAAAACCAAGGGAGTTATAGCTTTTTAAAGATTCAGCCAATCAGATTGCAGCTTACGTACACGAACGTGTATGCATGTGCATGGTGACCATACCTTTTTTTAAAAGTTCATTTAATATATCTATGTTCCAAATCCCATCCTGTTTGGTTGAAAATCAAGGGAGTTATAGCTATTTAAAAGTTTCAGCCAATCAGATTGCAGCGCACGTGCATGCACGTGTTTTCATGATAATTTCTATATATCATGTTGTAGGATATCCTAATGCATGGCTATGTTCAAAATTTCAAAGGATCTCCTCAAAAAACAAGAAAGATATTGAGACTTTAGTTTCAGCCAATCAGAGCAAAGCGCACGTGCATGCGCGTGAGATCTTGCTATTTTGACCATATCATATTGTCTATATTACTAATATATCCTTACATTATGAGTTTCAAAGCATTTTATCAAAAATTTAAAAAGTTACGCCTATATCAATTAAATCGGTCATTTTACATGTTGCACGTGCGCGCTCTTGCAAGCACGTGCACGCAAAATGACCTTTGTTCGGCAAATCTACATAACATGTCTATTGACCATAAAAACATTTTACCTTAGTCGGATGTGTAGTTTACAAGATCACTCAAGGACAAAATTTTCCCAGGAATAATAATAATAATAATAATAATAATAATAATAAGAAACAGAGTAAAAACAATATGTTCCCCAACTTCGTTTGGGGAACATAATAATAAGAAACAGAGTAAAAACAATATGTTCCCAAACTTCGTTTGGGGAACATAATTACTATATGCGAATGAAAATTGAATACAGTGTATTGCTATACATATATAATGAGCAGATGCTACAAACAAAAGAAAATTGGAAGCCTGACTAAATATTTTATATACATGTAGTAAAGTTTTTCATCACATTTTTCATAGTTTTGTTGTAAGGTATCATTATCGTCTTTTCAAGTAAAATATCCATCTATGAAAGAGATGTGTCACATTCTTTGGTATTATTTATTTCGAGTTCCTGTGTATATGTATCGAAGCATCTTAAAAGAATCAAAGTCAATACTGATGACTGAAAAAAAAAACAATTTGTATATTAAACATATTAATAAAAGTTGAGAATTTACTCTAAAGTAGGATTTTATAAAAATGTCATTTTCCAGTTTTTTCCATATCATTATCAAGACTGTAGGTTATCTAGATTGATTAACATTTCTAGAAGTCAGATCGTGGTATAGTAACTGCTCATTAGACACATTACCAAAAGCACATTAGAAAATGTCTTTTATCAATCTCTTGTCGACAATAATCTTAGTCTTAAAAGCTTAATACCTGTTGATTTTTTTGTTTTATAGATTGAGTCTACATTAAATATTAAAAACGAATTCTAAAGGTGGAAAAACAATTACGGTAATGATAAAAATTAATTTCTTTGTGATAACGCAAATTGCAATCGAAGACATGACAAGGGTGAAAAAGAGTTACATACAATGTATAAACCATTACTAAAATGAAAATATGCCTAGTATCAATGATATCCCACTTTAATTTAATGCGAACAGTAAAGAGATGAAAAAAACGCTTTAAATGCCATTTAATAAAAAAAAAGGAGAGAAAACAATTTTATTGCACCCGAGATCTGACGCTTGCAAATAATGCAGGTCAAGTAAGATACTCGTCAAAATATACATCATATACCATTTGTCGGTTTAAGAATATCATGCAGTTTTATAATTATTAACTGCCGTTTGCTTATTTTCCATTTAAGAAAGCATTTTCTTGAAAAAATAACGAACTCGCAAAAATACGTTGTCCTCAATTTGACCATCGGATTTCCGTTTCGGTTCCACAGGAAGGCGTGTTTTTGTGAGTCACGTGACCCTCTTACATATCTGTTTTTTGGACACTTGATGATAACGATAGAGCCCTTGCTCTTAAAGGTCCGCAGAATTGGCTTCTGCTGTCGATGTAAGATCTTATGGAAATATTAATTTAGATGAACACGAGAAATAAATTGATAACATGTATAGTCGATACTGTTTTCCGAGTCTCTGAAGAATTACTTACCCAAGTGAATAGCGGATACTTGAGGAAATTATTAAATCTTCTCAATGCTCAACCCTACTAACTGATACTGAAGTAAAATTAATGGCACTGAAGATGGATCTTTGTCATCTGCTAATTTTTCACTTTGTAATTGCAACAAAAAGCCTGAAAACTCTGAGTTCTTTTGGCAAAGAGTCGCAGCTTACGGTAGTGGGTGCGCATGGAAATTATTCTTGGCCGGAGAGGGACAAGGCGGTGCATGTGGGTGGCGACCTAATATTAGGAGCACTGCATATGGTGCATGAGAGGAGTGAGGATAAAATTTGTGGCCCCATCATGCCCCAGGGCGGGATACAGGCCTTAGAGACGATGTTATACACCCTGGATGTTATCAACGCCAACCCAAAGCTTCTCCCAGGGGTTACCTTAGGGGTACTGGCCAAAGACGACTGTGACAGAGACATTTATGGTCTGGAGCAAGCCGTGGACTTCATTCGAGGTAAAGAAAACATTTAGTTAAAATTTGAAAGGTACAAGAAATGAAAGATAATTGTACACTAATATGTCAATTTCTGCCATTTCATTTGACATTTATTCATTTCAATATCTTGATGGTATTTATGCTCTTTTTGTATTGTACATTGCAACATACTCCTGCTACTGCATTGCGTGCGTTGGTATGATATTGAATTTTATTTTACTCAGGAAAATAAGCTTTACATACTTTTCAGTATTAATGGGCAGATTTGAAGAAAATGATGATTTACAATACAATCAGAATGTTTATTTAAAACAAATTAAAGAACCCAAATCATAAATCACCTGGGTTAAGGCTAGTCTGTTTTACAACATGCTGTATTCATACAGAACCTAGAAAAAAATACCCGGAAAACTGAAAGCATCCATTGGCAATCACACGATCGAGTTCATATAGTTCTAATTTCGAATTGAATGGTAAAAGAAGTATCTTTATTGGCGTATGCATTACTTATATCTATTGCCACAAAGGTATAACAACAGTTTATAAAATTGTTTCGTCACAATGATCAACATTGATCACATCGTTCAATTTTGCCTTTGATGATTTTTTTAACACTTTACTTCCTTTTATAGTTAAAACGTCTACAGACTGTAAAATTTGCCACACTTTTTTGCTCTTTAGTTTTGAATCTCGACTTCTTTTAATTTGAATCTTAAATGAAAAGTCAGAATTTTCTATTTGGACGCGAAGCAAAAAAAAAAAAAAAGTCAGAGAAAACCCGTTCAAAACCGGAAAAGACTTTAGCAGAGAATCCCCCTAATGGAGCTGTGTTATTAATTCCAGTTTCATCAATTACAGCGGCTCCGAAAATCAACTTAGGTTTTGATCCATTGTGATAGGAAAATGATCATCTTAAAGGCCTCGGAGTAGTAGCGACATGTTGATGAAACAATTAGAGAATGAGCCGCCTTAAATCAATTCTGTCCAATAGCCCTCTCGGTTTCAAAAAAGAAACTTTCGGTAATTAATTGATTTTTGGAGACTATCTTATAGATATTACTTAACGAACGTGATTATGAGAATATATAGTTAAGATCGGTACTATTGGAGGAATAGAAAGGTGACAGAGTTCTAATGAAGGGATCACATTCTAGCTCTTTAACATCTTGTCAAGATCATATATTCTTGTAGAAAGTTCAGAAAACACAGAAAAGTCGTGGAGGATTTTTAAGATTTCTTTATTGAATTTATATTGTTCCTTTTTCAGGAAAATAGTTTTGAAAATGAGTACTATATAAAGTAATCTTTATTCATGTTTATATCTAAATGCTCATGAATATATTTTATTGATACAGTGAAAAAGAACCGCTTGTTGTCTAACTAATTTAGTGGTTTTTGATTTCAATGAACGGTGTTGTATTGGTAAATTTCAGTGTGACTTGCCACACAGGTAGAATACATAATATACATAATTCTATGCATCAGTTTTCGATTTAGATGAACACTGTTGCCATGGTTACTAGAATTAGAAATTCCTGTAAACTTTTCTTCTCTACAGTTTTTGTCTGATTACAATCTTGACACAGAAAAAGAGACAAATCAAGAAACATTATTAATTTCTTTTTATTGCCATATCAAACTTGTTTTGTTATAAGTACAAACCAGTAGAACTACAGTCTTGACAGAGACTTTGGTTTTTGTTTTTGTTTTATTAGCTTTACAAGCATACATAAAAATAGAGAATTTAGTGAAAAAAGAAACTTATTGAAATAGTACGTTTATCGACTTCAGAGTACATTTAAAGTACATTTACATGTAAGCCACTGTATGAGAACTTTTTAAGGTTGTTGGTAAAGATAGGAAAACTAAAAAAAAAAAGAAGAAATTTACACTTGTATTTCTGATTGCAAACCCGCTCTATTAATCCTTCCACCATGGCCATGATCATAACTGACTATAGACCTCTATCGAACAAACATTCTAGACATATATTGTACATGTATATTGACATGAGGTGATATCGTTTGTTATTGACCGTGGTCTCCTGTCAGCTAATTTTCCTAACGGCACAAAAAGAAGTTTACTTTCCGTAATAATGATTTTTTTTTTCTGATCTTCTTTTGTTTTATTCCGCGTGAGATTACTCTCATTAATTCTCACATTTCCGCAACATATTGGCGACATTCCTTCACTAGCCGGAGTAAGGTCCCGAAAATAAAATACACGATTCAATTGTAAACTACTTGCAGTTTTATTAAGTCCTCTTCAGGTTTTGCAATAAAGAAATCACTTCCAATATAGGCTGATTATTACACTATCAGAGCAATGCCCTGTCGTGGAAGAGTCTATGGAATCCTTTTTGCTAATTTGGAATTCTGTTAAACCCTTTTCAGAAAAGAAGACAACGATGTTTTAGTCTTTAGTCCCAATTTGATTTTGAATTAATTAAATTTTGGACAAACTAGAGCCATGTACTGTACTTTTGAAACTGTGGTACATGTAGTTCCCGTTCCCATACAGGTGTAATGGTAAAGTCCATTTTTGCTGTAGGAAAATTATATAAAAATACGGATATATCAAGAAGCAAAATGGGAGATCACTATGGCACTATGTCATGACAGTTCAAAGGTATATAGGAGATGTGGATAAGTGATAGTTAAGCCAAAGAACGTACAGACTTCCTGAAAGAACAACACTTCAATCACTATACACTCCCCGCTTTTCACCGAAGGTTTAAACTTGCATATACTAAAATTCCTTTGTGAAAAGGTTAAATGAATTTCTATATTTATTTAAAGAATTTAAGTTAAAAAAACCCATAAAATTAAGGTTAAACAAACTACATTTACAGGACTTTCATGTTATCTCAAGATATCATATTAAAATTTTCCCTTGGCCTTTTTTATACACATACATGTATCTACTAGTATACCCTAAAAAGCGGAGAGTGGGACAAAGAGTAATGAGGGTGCCCGTCCGTTTGTCTGTAATAATGAATGGGGATCCCCGATTACCTGTCTCCTGCTATACAAAGGTAAAACAAGATGTGTTTATAAAATACTCCTGACCCGTTTGGGAGCTTGTGGCAAAGATGCAAAGGTATATGTTTCTCAAATGCAAGTCAACTCATAGTTAAAAGCAAAGAGATAAGGTACGTTGATACTTCAAAAAAGGGACTTGCCTCAATGAATACCAATCGGTACCAATATTTTCACAAACTTGAGCTTGAGTTTGACTTGAATTTGAAAATCTTTAATGTTTGTCATGAACTTCCATGCAGTTGCATCAGCGTTTCAAAAACACATTTTGGTTGAAATTCAAGACTAAAGAGATTATCACAGGTTTGAAAATTATATCACAACTTCTCCTTATTACTGTACATAGTATTTTGGGGAGTAAAAATTGGACATATTGGTGGTCATCCACCGTGATAATTGCATGTTCCCTGTTATACTGATAACATCGATATCTCCATGTAAACGACAGAATCTGCCTGTAATCGATACACTGGCATTCAGTCTCTTCCACAAGAGTTCACATATTTAAGTTTACACACTCTACTCGCATACAGGGGTACTTAAGTTTTATTTTTTGATCTGTTTACATGTATATTTCTCTTAATAATTGTTGTATTTTTTAATTTATACAAGTGAAATCGATAATGATAGTTGTTGCCAGTTTTTTCTTAAAAACACTTTTCACTTATGTCATTCATTTTTAACATTAAAGAAGAATCAAAAGATATTGAAAAATGTTTAAAACTTATTAGATGAATACAGCTACATGTAATCAACATGCATTTTGTTATAGTGCTTACAAGTGTTCATTTGAAATACATAAAATAGAATTATTTCGATTCGTCTTTTGTTTCAATAATTAGAGCTTGTATCGATTTGTTCTGTTGAAGCACTCATATCTTTTATTGTTAGGACGATTTTCACCTTAGTTTGGACTTTCAGAAGGGCGTGGCATTCTCGGCGCTACGTAATGGCAAATACTTGTAGATTGGTTAAGAAATTAATAACATCAGGAACTTGGGTGACAACGATGAGACGGCTCTGTGCCGTGAGAGAACTTTTAATTGGCTGTTTACTACACCAGTTGACATTCGGCCGAATTTCTATTCTATGTATATATATTTCAACAGTGAAGGAAAGCTGTGTAAATTTCAGAAGCTACATAGGTAATGTCGAGAATATCACGCCTTACTGAAAATCCAAACTAAGCTGATAATGGTCCTATGTTATTGTCCCCCGCTTGAAAAGTGGGGGATATTAATTTGGGTTTGTCCGTCCGTCCGTCTGTCCGTCCGTCCGTCCGTCCGTCTGTCCGTCTTTCTGTCTGTCTGTAACGCTTTCGTTTCCACACGATATCTCGAGAACCCTTTGAGCTTTTGCAATGAAATTTAGCATAACAACTCCCTATAGACTAAAGAAGACCCCTATTGATTTTGAGGTCAAAAGGTCAAAGGTCAAGGTCATAAATAAGCAAATTCTGTCTGTTAAAACACTTTCGTTTCCACACGATATCTCTAGAACCATTTGAGCTATTGCAATGAAATTTTATATAACAACTCCCTGTGGCCTATTGAAGACCCCTATTGATTTTGAGGTCAAAAGGTCAAAGTTCAAGGTCGTAAATTTATATATTCTGTCTGTGTGTAATACTATTATTTCCGGGCGATATTTCAAGAATATTTTGAGCTTATGCAATGTAATTTTATATCAAAAGTCCCTAGGACGTCTCTCGCCCCTCTCAAAGTGTCCCGCCCCATTTGTTGTCCCCCGCTTGAAAAGTGGGGGATATTAATTTGGGTTTGTCCGTCCGTCCGTCTGTCCGTCCGTCCGTCCGTCCGTCCGTCTTTCTGTCTGTCTGTAACGCTTTCGTTTCCACACGATATCTCGAGAACCCTTTGAGCTTTTGCAATGAAATTTAGCATAGCAACTCCCTATGGACTAAAGAAGACCCCTATTGATTTTGAGGTCAAAAGGTCAAAGGTCAAGGTCATAAATAAGCAAATTCTGTCGGTTAAAACTCTTTCGTTTCCACACGATATCTCGAGAACCATTTGAGCTATTGCAATGAAATTTTATATAACAACTCCCTGTGGCCTAATGAAGACCCCTATTGATTTTGAGGTCAAAAGGTCAAAGTTCAAGGTCGTAAATTTATACATTCTGTCTGTATGTAATACTATCATTTCCAGGCGATATTTCAAGAAGATTTTGAGATTATGCAATGTAATTTTATACCAAAACTCCCTAGGACGTCTCTCGCCCCTCTCAAAGTGCCCCGCCCCGTTTGTTTTATTAGTATTTATAGTATTACATGGCGCTATTTTTAGCGCAGGGGCATGAGGAGAGTTATTGCGTATAAAACAGGTTCTCGGCGGACTTTATGTTCTTATTACATCTATTAGAACTGTTTAATAAAGGCTAAATAAATCAAACACCATGGATTGTGTAAAATTTTGAGAAAACCGAACATGAAAACATGAATATATACGTGTATGTGACTTCAGTTCTGCATATACTTCTGTCTGTATAAAGCGACTCCGTGGTCTAGTGGTTATGTCTCTCGCTTCAAATGTGAGAGGTCCCGGGATTGAATCTCAGTCGAACGTTTCATTTTTTTTTTTTTTTTTTTTTGTAAATACTTTTTTTTTTACTAAATGATAGTATTGAGCATGTGAAATGAAAAATTTATGAGGTTATAAAATCATCATTACAGTGTGATAAATATTCCATATAAAAAAATCTTCTATACACATAATAAAGAATAAGCAATCAAATCTTTGTATGAATATTGACATACATGTATTTTATTTCCTTCAGTATACATGTATACATTTAATAATTCTACTAATTCAGTCAGGGGGAGCCGACTTTTTCCCTAAGCGGGGGACACGAATTCTCTGAATTAGCTTGTTTTATTAGTATTTATAGTATTACATGTCGCTATATTTAGCGCAGTGGCATGAGGAGAGTTTTTGCGTATAAAACAGGTTCTCGGCGGACTTTATGTTCTTATTACATCTATTAGAACTGTTTAATAAAGGCTAAATAAATCAAACACCATGGATTGTGTAAAATTTTGAGAATACCGAACATGAAAACATGAATATATACATGTATGTGACTTCACTTCTGCATATACTTCACGCTATGTAAAGCGATTCCGTGGTCTAGTGGTTATGCCTCTCGCTTCATGTATAAGAGGACCCGGGATCGAATCTCGGTCGAACCTTTCTTTTTTTTTTTTTATACTTTTTTTTTACTAAATGATAGTATTCAGCATGTGAAATGAAAAATTTATGAGGCTATAAAATCATCATTACAGTGTGATAAAAATTCCATATAAAAAAATCCTCTATACACATAATGAAGTATAAGCAATCAAATCTTTATATGCATATTGACATACATGTATTTTATTTGCTTCAGTATACATGTATACATTTAATAATTCTACAAATTCAGTCAGGGGGAGCCGACTTTTTCCCTAAGCGGGGGACACGAATTCTCTGAATTAGCTTGTTCTTTAATGTGTTCATCCAATGTCCTTCTTCTATACAAAATAAACAATTTTCTGATTCACCTTTAGTTATATGAGAATATTTTATTTACATTTGTAATAGTGAATGTATATTGTTTGTAAGAGATTTATACTGGAATAAATGGTAGCAATACGACGCACACCTAGAATCCCATGAATCTTTCATCCATGGGCTTTTTCTTTGAATTGTTCAATTGTTGTTTATTTTACATCAAAACCCCTAAAGCTGCTATTGAATATTGCTTCAGAAAATATGAAATACTTGTAGACGAGTATAAATAAATTATTTCTTATATGTCAAGTTAAAAAAAAAACCACAAGGATAAGATCACAAGGCAAGTTGTCGAAAGTTCTTAATAGTTCAATTTCGTTATTAACGCAAGAAAACCAATCAGCATCGTTATACGCAAATTCTGAAAAATCCACAAAGCTTTTTAAAATGGATCTTAAGTGCCCAAACACTCAGGGAAGCAAGAGAGGCTTAGAAAAGTCATTAACGGACTTAATTCGATTTTTACCTCTAAGCTCAATGTACACTTTTTCTTTCCCAAGAAAGCCATGCCAGATATTGAAAAATTGGCTAAAGGCGCTGTTCTTTTTCATACTGTTTTGTTGTGGTTAAAGCTATCTGTATTATGTTTCTTTCTTTTCTTTTTTACATTTTCTTCTATTGTATTAATAAAAATAAAATAATATAAGAAAGAATGGGGGAAAAACACTTTTGGAGCAATTCATTGAACAACGGAGGTAACTTAATGTAAAATAATAATAATGCTAAAAGTGAATTGTAAACTTTATGTAAAATAATAATGCTAAAAGTGAATAACTGAGTTGTTTTTCGTACAATTATTATTCAAGTAAGTAAGTGTTAACCTAACTGGAGATCTAGAGTCGCTGGTCTTAAAAATTGAAATGTAAAAGAGAGAGAGCAACAATGTCACTCACTGAAAAGTGCATGTTTATTGCGCACCAAAATGCGCTGTTTCTAGATTTATTTCTCTGTATATTTATGCTGCTATGTCAAAATATTATTTACCGTGTTTTCCTAACATATTTCATTGACTTCTACCACACAATACATTCCTAAAAATTGTTGTTAATAGTCCTGTTGGGCCTGAAACTGAGATCATCCAAACGTTCGCCTATTTATACGGCCATTTCGAGAGACAAAACAATTTGGTCCATTTTACGTGCTTCGTGCGAATACCCTTTTGTCATGGAAGAAGTACAAAATAAGCTAGGAACATGTGGTTAGAAATATACTGAAATTTACTGAGAAATAAATCAAGAAGTAAATGTACACTTTTTTCGATGAGTGGCATTGTTGGTCTTTAGTTGTCAATTCCTTTTTTTCAATCCAGCGAACTACAGATCTACAGCTAGTAAAAATTCCCGGCCCTTACGTAATCATTTTGAAAAAAAATGTAAAAATTTGGATGGAGTTGATAAGCTGAAATCGCGTTTGATATTTTAATTGCACACTGCTCTGATAGTACGCAACATGAAAGATAACATCTTTCGTTTTTACGTCACTCGACCTTCTTAAATTAATTAAAATAAAACTTAACATTTTTCAAGGCTCAATAGCAAACATAGGAGGATCCGAGTACAAGTGTCACGACGGATCTGATCCGGTCATTCCTGGAGTGATTGGAGCGCCATCTAGTGTGACTTCAATTCAAGTAGCAAATTTACTGAAGCTGTTTAAAATTCCACAGGTAAGATTCAGCAGGACTGTGTACTAGTACTTAATTTAACTTTGTTTAATTTAACCCCTTTTGTGTCAATAGATATATATACATGTATATGCGCAAGCAGTATTTAGTACAATAGATAATTTAGATGGAATTCGTTCGTTAATAAAAAAAAGTTTATTATTTATAAGAATGAATCAGCTATTAACATACCTGATTTTATATTCTTAAACAATTTTGGTGCATTTGTTTTACATTTTAAAAATAGCCATTTTTCAAAGATGTACGTGTAAAATGTCAAATCCCAATGGATTTTTTTTATGGTAATGATTTTTATCGTTACACCCAATGTTCATCTGTGTTAAAAATCATTTAAAATTTAACAATTTTTCAATTTTATGATCTATTTTTATAAAAAATGTTTTAAGTAATAGCTTTCGGTCAATCAAAGGAGTAATATCACCTTTGCACTTATCAGTTTATCGATGTTTATTTCGTTATTGTTTCAGTAAAACTCATTGTTATACCGGCCTCAGGAAGACAGTTTGGTTCTTGGGTCAGACAAAATGCATGTTGCCCTCGAACTCAGTCAATCGATGTATATCATTAAGCACGAATTGAAGAATATCCAAGTTCTTTTTAGCTTTTTTTCTACTTGTATTTAAAAACACTTTTCCATTTTGTTTCCAAAGAGGCAGTTTGATTCTGAATTTAACTTGAGTGAGAAATTGCTTAGGAGTGAGCATCAAATCAAGGACACCAGTCAGAGTCAGCTGCGGGTGATCTATGTATTTCTGTCAAAAAAGCAGAATTTGTCAAGTATTTTAGACTACGTTGTTGGGCATTAGCAAAATTTGTTTGCATTTCGCGAACACATCTATTTTCTGGTATATGAGTCGGTGGACACAAACACAATATGACATAGCTATATTTCAGTAGTCCTCCGCAGTTAGCACTGTGACGTCGTACATCAGCTGTAAAACGTTCTCACATTTGGACAGGAAATGAGAATTTTTTTGACAATAAAACATATCAGAATACGTTCCTAAACAATCTCCATGCCTGTCAATACTCGGTAATAAGTCAGGCCTATATTCAACGTCAGACCCTGTTTGCGCAGCCGTCAAAAACCTGTAGAAATAGCGAGTTTTACACAGAATAGTGAAACTAATTCATTTAGGAATCAATCACGGACTGATATTCCGGGAAACCCAAGCTGCCTTTGAAACTCGAATCCTTCAATGCATCAGAAGGACTTTCCGTGTCATGAATTAAGACTGCCCCACGGCAAACATGTTACATTATACGGAGTGAATATTGGAATATTACTAAAGGATCTCTGTATTGTTTAACATTCTGTCAAACAAATTAGATTAAATAATGTTACATCTTAGAGGACTTATAGTTCCATAAAGTAGATTTTGTTCCAGATAAAAAAAGAATCCTCAGTTAAATTAAACCAATGATGAACTTTATCATACTTAAGCAAAAAGAAACGGATCCCAGAAATCCATTGAAAAACAAAATTGCCTGATATTTTGTCAATAATTATAAGAAAATATCATACATGTAGATTTTTTTTCAACCTATGGTTTCCAAAACTGATCAAATTATTTCTAAACAAAATAAAAACTTGTACAGTAGACATTTACGTTAAAAATGAATTAATTCTGTTGACTGAAATACACATACTCATGGAATGTTTGAAAAATGATTTACTTAAATGAAGAATCTAGATTTGGCTCTATGCAAATATGCACTTTCAGAAAATAAGTTTTACATGCATCGCAATTGGCGTGCGAGTGTATTTTTGCTACTGTATATATTAGAAAAATTCTCATTAAGAAGATTCGACTACTCCAAATAACATTTTATTGAAAAATTTACTTTCTAAAACTCCATTCTGCAATTTTTTCATTCATTTTGGTAGGACCTCTGAACAAAATGATATCAATTATTGAAAGCTTATCGAAAATAAAACACGGATAACTTATAATGAGAAATAAATATTAACTTTCCTTTTCCAATTAAAAAGAAAATTACAAATATTTTTTTTCTGTCAGAAACTCATAACTGAAAACCAAGTTGGATATAATTGTATTGTTCGAACATAACACTTTGTGATTTAAGCCTCAACCTAACTTTCTAGCTCACCTAAGCTGAAAGTTGAGGCGAGATTCCTTATCTCCTATTGTCCATTGTCCGCCAATAACTGTTATAGCTTTACCGTCTTTTGCAATTTTGGATCATAACGGTGACTTGCATAGACTGAAAGAATTACAAAAAACAATACCCTTGTTAATAAGTCTAAATGCATGTTATTGCTTCAACTTTAGCAGTGAGCAATGTATCCAATCAATAAATATGAAATGTACTGTTCCTCATGACTTGACTCCTCAGGTGAGCTTCTTCTCTACCAGCACTGTGTTGAGCAACAGAGACAGGTACCCTTTCTTCCTAAGAACCATACCATCTGATGTCCATCAGGCGCAGGCCATGGTGGAACTAGTGCGCATGTTCGGATGGACTTATGTCTCGGTGGTTTATGAGGAATCAAGTTACGGGATGCAGGTAAAAAAAAAACAGACTGGTCATTTCAAAAGAAACAAAAATGAATGCAGTCCTCATGCTGGAAATATCTTAAGTACTTTATCCATATAATACAACAACAACAACATTGGTTTTTAAGGGTTTTAACGAGCTGGAGAAGCTTTTGAAGGCCAGTGAGATCTGCATTGCGGCGACAGAAAAGTTAATCAAGGATTCCGGTGTGGCTGGCCAGGCTACCTATGACAAAACCGTGGAAAGGCTACTGGCGAAATCAAACGCAAGGGGTGAGCACCGAGTATAAAGGAGTCTTTCACTTTTGATAGTAATTTTAAGATCTCAGCATTTTATAATTAATTTTTTAATAAAAAATTAAATATTTCTTGTAATTCATCTTGACAGGAATGATTCCCCTTGATGAACCATTCGATTTACATTTTCTGCATTTTATCTTTGCTTTGTTAATGAGTATAAAATTCTCAATCAGCAAAAAATCTGTCTTTGCTAAGGTATGTTTACTAATGATTATGTCAGGCCCAATCATCACTGCAGTAAAGTCTGCAATTGACAGTTCTTCTCCATAACAATGGGAAAACAAACCCATCTGCAATCATCAATATGCAAAACTGATACTCGCATATAAGTCGGTTGTATTTTAGAACTTTATATTGGATGAATTTAGCGTTGACCCGCTTGAAAGTGGGAAAAAAAACATTTTGCCAGAATACTGGTATTTTGTCAATTTCCAGTCTTCAACTTTTGATGAATGGCGGTCCGCATTTTATATTTACCGCGATAAGCCAAAAAGATATATAAAGACAATTAAAAAAAATTGCTCTGTGAAGAAATTTTTATAAAACTCAATAGCAAGTCTTGAAATTGCTAAATTTTAACTACATGTATAGTAAAACACTGTTTTGAACAAAGGGAAGGACTCTCAGAACAAAAATATCTAACTCTGTGCGATTTTGCCATAAATATTATATCAGGTTCCGTGAGCCTCTTGTTTTAATATACACTCCATAAATAATGGTAGAAAAAAGTATATATTCAAATTTTCCTTAGAACTATAGCATACATTCCTAGCTTACATCCAAATTTCTCCCCTGCGTTGTAGGCGTGATTGTATTTGGTTCCGACCAGGAGGTTGGTGAACTGATGCAGGCCGTCAGGCGGAAGAACGCCTCCCGCTGGTTCTCCTGGATTGGAAGTGACGGCTGGGGAGGGCGGAGCCTCGCTGTGGATGGCAACGAAATAGAGGTAGGTAGGACAGTTCAGGTCACCGGGAACGAAGTAGAGGTAGGTAGGACAGCTCAGATCACCGTTAACGAAGTAGAGATAGGTGGGACAGTTCAGTTCACCGGAAAAATTTCAAAACTGTAAAATTCAACTCAGGTGGCAGAATATATAGAATGAATTTTAAAGACCTGGGTTCTCTGTCCTCTAAGATTCCCACAAACCAAAATCTCCCGGCGTGCAAAGCTGTTGTTGGCTATATAGTTGCAAAACTGCTTATATATTTACCTCATTTGTACTTATTTCCTTTCGGTAGGTAGAGGGTGCCGTGACAGTTCAACCATTAGCATTTGAAGTAAAAGGGTTCAAAGATTATTTTCTCAATCTCACGCCTCAGAACAACAAAAGGAATCCCTGGTTTGTGGAATTCTGGGAACAGCAATTCAGATGTAAATACCCAGGAAGCAATTGGACGCCATACAATGACGGTTTTAATGTGACGTGTAGCGGAAACGAGCAGATTTTTCCACAAGAATTCGAAATGGAGGCACAGCTTCAATTCGTCAGCGATGCTATAATGAGTTTTGCGTACGCTTTCACAGTGAGTTTTATTTGTTGTTCATTTGAAGATGATCTATGTCTTTTGAGATCAAGAATGAGTATATTACAAATTCTGTCGATTTACAGAATATGCTCGCAGATTTCTGTGGAAACGGTTCTGGGTTATGTGACGCTATAATGCCAATTGATGGGGAACTACTAAAAGACTACTTGGTCAAAGTGAATTTTACAGGTACGAACACGTGCATACTTTTGTGGCATAATTCTAAATCTGTGGAAGGTACAATATGGCTTAAATGTATAAAACCTTACCGCGATACATTGAGACTGTGGTAGACTCTGATTGAAGCAAGAAAAATTGAAATCACAAGAATCAATCAATTATCAGTTCTGTTCTCTAGGTTTGTCTGGACAGCAGTTTGCGTTCCTTCCCTATGGGGACGCTCCAGCGCGTTACCGGATCCTGAATTACAGACAAGTCACAAGAGGGCGCTACGAGTGGAAGACCATTGGTTTCTTTCTGGGAAAACATTTATTTCTAGACAGCCAGTCCTCTAAACGAATTTACACAATGGAACAGGTATTCATATAGAATGGCCAGATATGAAATTTGTCCTTTTCCGACATACCCTCTCTTAATTTTACCTCCCAGTGCTTTCAAAATTAAGGTCTTCTATTATTATATTGAATTGTTATACACTCGAAATACGTTACCTATATAACCATTTTGCTGTGAAATTGTCAATTTTAAGAGTTTTTTTTATAAAACAGGTAAAGTATTACTGAAGGAAAACAATAAAATACAACATGTGTAATAGATTTCAAGTTACATCATGATAGTATCATGATACATTTAGTTATCTTGTTATTATACTACCGTATGGGTTATGCTGATTGTGTTGTATGTTCTACAACACATAGATGGTTGACATGAAGTTTCGCTGGGAAGAGCCCGAACACCCTGAATCAGTCTGCAGTCGACCGTGTCAGAAAGCGGAGGCCCATCATATGATCGACGGCTCAGCGTGCTGCTGGACCTGTTCTCCTTGTCATCTGTTCCAGTATCTACCCACCAAGTACGCATGCGTTGACTGCCCCTTGGGCACCATTCCCAGCTTTGATAGGCAGCACTGTGTACAAATACCGATTGTTTATCTGAGGTAGATTTGATATCATTTAATAAAAGTTGTGCCATTGTGAGTACACATTGAACAACATGCCATTGATTATAAAAATATTTTTAAAGGTTAACGCAGAATTATTGCTAAGTGTTTGAATTTAATTAAACAACAAAAATGGAATGAAGTGATTACGAAGTCGAAAATGTATTTCAATTAATCAATAAAATTGTGAAGCCATTTTAACTGGTATTGGAAGGAATAAATTCTCGACTTATGAGGAGTCGAGATGTCAAAAATCAACGTTTCAAACGTATTATAATATTTAGAAAATACATGTACATGTAGATCTGTGTTAAATTAATTCAATATTTGGCTAACGATTTTCACAATTGCGTAATCTCAAATTTTGTAGGTATACAGATGCCATAGCATTGGTTGCCATGACGTTTGCTTCTCTCGGTATCATAGCAACAGCTGTTGTCATGGTGATCTTTATCATATACAATGATACCCCAGTAGTTAAGGCGTCAGGGCGGGAGCTAAGCTTTGTTCTTTTATTTGGAATTTTTATGTGTTATGCCATGACTTTTATACTGGTCTCAAAACCAAGCGAGATCACCTGTGGTGCTCAGAAGTACTGCATTGGATTATCATTCTCCATAGTGTATTCCGCCATACTCACAAAAACCAACAGAATATCTAGAATCTTCAGAGCAGGTAAAAGGACTTCAAAACGACCTCGATTCATCAGTCCACGATCTCAGCTATTTATCTGTGGGGCGTTTGTAGCGTTTCAGAATGCCGTAGGAATTGTGTGGCTGTTACTTCGTCCGCCCCGGGCTGTACCGTATCATGCAGACCGTGACGACCATCAGCTTGTGTGTAATGATGCGGTTGGAGCCTGGTATATGGTTGGCTTCACTTACCCGATTGTTCTCGTGATTATTTGTACATTCTATGCTATTTTGACGAGAAATATTCCAGAAGCATTCAATGAATCAAAGTATATTGGATTTACAATGTACACAACTTGTATTATATGGTTAGCATTTGTGTCAATCTATTTCAGTACTGAACATAATATTCACATTAGAATAGCAACTATGTCGTTTTCCATAAGCTTAAGTGCCACGGTAGGACTGATTTGTATGTTTGCCACAAAACTTTATATTATAATTCTTCATCCGGAAAGAAATGTCCGACAGAGCCTGTTAGCAGCAAAGCCCGTTATGCCATCTCCAAAGCTAAACAATTGCTACTCCAGTATACCTTCTAGTTACCATTCTAATGGACGACAGGACACCGCTCAATCTGTCCAGTCCGATTATGGAGGTAAGACATTAACCTGACACCGTGCAATCTGTCCAAGTCAGATAACAGAGGTAAAATAAACCTGACACCGCCCAATCTGTTTGAAGTTATGATAATTAAGAAAATCAAATAAATGCAAAACCTCTAAAATGCCCAACTAAATCTAAGTTCTAAGAACACGGCAATACCAAAGAACTATATGTTGAAGAAGTCATATACTTTGAACGTGTTGAAATCTCTAAAATTAATAAAAACTGAGTAATAAGAATTTAATGTAAAATTGATAATTTCGATTGCTTGGACCTAATGGGAATAGGGAATTTCTGTTGCTGCAAAGACGTATTGTTAATATAGAAATAATTTGTCATTTGTATGCTTCCTTCTATAAAGATATTTGTTATGTGTGGCTGCTTTGGTACCACGCATATTTATAAGCCGATTACAAAAACAATCTTGATTGAATAAGACGGACCAAATTAATTTGGTCAATGAAAAGATGTTTATCATTGTCTTGGGGATCGCGCGGAGAGCAGGGTTCCGAAAAGGTTAAGCATAATTCTTGGTCCTTCGTTCTTCCCTGACTGTGTCCTGTGGTCGAAGCACTTTATTTGATTATCCAGTTATTGGAAGTGCCATAAATTCTAGCGTAGAAGATGGTATCGATTCCTAACGTGTTAATTAGTATGACGGAATATGAAAGCGATATCCATTGATCTTTTATTAGACAGGATACAGCCCCCAGTCTTGAATGTCTTCTCTCTCTCATTTGAAGGGTTTTTATTACATTTTCACGTATGAAACTGGAGGCATAACCGTTTGTCTATTATTTTGTCTTCCAGAAATTTTAAATTTTAGATATTGAAATATTGAATCGGATTTGGATGGATCCTTCTTCGGTTTTGTTCACTAAAAAATAAAAAAAAAAAGGACATCGCAATGCAGAGCATCCCCCTCGCAACGAGCATATAAGAAATCAAATCAGCGTGCGACATGTCGATCCCGATGGAAATTACGTCACTTCCGTTTCACAAAGAATAAACTCACTCGCCCACAAACGAACACAAGCTATTGCGTTAATATATACCCTCCGACCCTGTTGTGAGGGGATAATTAAGTAACCTTGAGACAGTGGGATAAGTGTGCTCTATACATACGTTAATAACCATGCAGTTATTAAAACTGTGCTGGCATTGTTTTAATCTATATTTCTTGTTACAGATATGGAAATGATGAATAGACTGCGGCCCTCCTCCTCTTTTAGTAGTACCATCAGTCGCTCTACGTGCGCCACCCAGACGCTAGCTAACGGTACCAGCATCAGCACTCAGACTTTGGAAGCCATCTCAAGAGGAGCAGACGATGTACAACTTTAACATCACGTGACAACTTCTTTCTTCAATTAAGACTAAACCCAAAAATTTACATGTATGTGTAAAACAAATCTGAAGCTACATATGTGCTTAAGAAATTGCTTCCTGTTTTGTATTTTAATATCCATCTATTCAATAATTGTTTTAAAATCTTTGCTCTAAATCTGTATGCCGTGGGTAAAGGGTAGTAAATACACCGATGTTCCGATTCACGCTGCAGCTACGATTTCTGGATTTCATATCAGATTTACATTTTTGTAAGGTTCTGAACTTCTTCACTTGGTGTGTGTTTTATTGCATTTTTACAGTATATCATCTTCGCTAGCGAAAGTTTTTCGGTCTGCTCTGCTCCCCATAGCTGTTTATGGGGATTGGACCTTAAAGCCTTGGCTTTCAAAGATGACAGTATATATGAATTCAAATTCATGAAATTTGATTATCATGCACTCACACTCTATTATCCTAGTATGTACTTATTTGGAGGTATACGTGTGTTATATACAGGGACCATGTCATCCTCACAGCGTCATATTGATTCTGAATCCACTCGTGGGAGCAAAGGACACGATTCAGGTGCATGTGTGAGGATGGGAACATATATATTAAAATCTGTTTGTACCTTATTTGTGGCATGGAATGGCATTTTATGCAACATGTGTACGAATAAATGTAACTCTATTACTTTTCTTTTGTGTGAATTTGTAGATGTCAGATGAGAAAGATCGGAAGAATGAAAGAGAGGTTGTAGTGATATTTTTCTATGACTATGATTTTTGATTTGAATGGACAAATAAAGATATTTTAATCTTTATGTAAGTTGTTAAACAAATATAGATCCAAGATGGGAAACAACCACTCCATGTAGGGCCATTTGTTTTCTTGGGGAAGAAAAGGTGTAAATGTCTTTTGCATGGAGGCCACTTTTGAATCACTCGGAGCTCAGGTTTGCATGGAGCGGAGTCAGCCGAGGATTGCCGATTGCTTCTGAATAGAAAAACTGCAATTTCGCGCATGCTCAAAATTCTAATTAGTACTCGTATATACATAGTACATTCGGTAGACTTCTGCAAAATGAAATGGTTTTGATTTTTACAAGTTAACACTTAAATTGTTCATAGTAACCATTGCTAACACATGTATATTCTTGTCTTTATAAACTGTATATAACATCACCAAAATGTACATTGCAGTAAGTACAGGCGACGAACATCTGGAGTTGAACTTCGTTTAGAAATGAGTTGAGTTCCCCTGAGACGGGTCGTTAATTACTCCTTTACATTTAATCGGTTTCCATGGTGTCCAGAGTTTTTTAAGTGAAAAAAATCTCAGCAAAATACATTTGTCATTCATCACCAACATGGTCAAAATGACAATTTAATTGATGGACGGCATTAAATTAGAGAAATCGACAAGTCATTCATATCAATTAGCGCGTGAAAGTGACACGTTTTGACGGTAAATGCGAGATTCCGCCGGACAGTTAACCCTGTCTTGATTTACTCCCAATCTTATATAGCCATTAACTCCTTGTCGTGGAAATTGAGATGTTTTTAACTTTATTATCTGCAGTTTCTGGTCCGTAATACATTTTTCTTAAGACATAACTATCAATCATCTATTGTTGGAAGAATTCCTGGATTAGTTTATAGATAATGTTCCTTGAATCCTTGTTGTGTTCAATTAGGACTCTATTTGACTCGGGAACTGAATGCTAAGTAACACTTGTGGACAGAAATAAAGTACATGTAATGTTCTATAAATCTGCTTACTTTATTGCCTTTTGCTTCGATAATTCATTACATTGCTACGCTTTAGGTAGTTAGTGTTAGGTTCGAGGAATTCGAGTTCAGATCTGAGAAACATGCAATTCAAAATGAAGATGTTTCGCAAAAATCTAGACTCATTAGGACTAAATGCATCGTAGAATCTGAGTAGCTATTGTTCTGCAGGGCGGACTTATACGCTATGATTAATTGGCATTTGGGGAGGAGGAGGGTACGATATGTATTTCAAAAACTGTGAATATCATTAGATAAAAAGAAATATTCAGATGCTAACTAAATTACATGTAACAGCTTGTCTTGTTTCTTTTTAGCTCGCCTGAGCCGAAGCCTCAATTTTTGTGAGCTTTTCTGATCGAAATTTGCCTTGTGTCTCCCGTCGTTGTTCGTTATAAACTTTTCTCATTTTCATATTCTGAAGAACCACTCAGCCAATTTCCATTTTCAATAAACTTGTCATAAAGTATCCTCGGGTAAAGGAGACTAAAGTTTGGGCCACGTCTTCTTCCAATAGAGGATAATAACGTATTCGTGAAGAATTACTGGCATTATGTGGAATCATCCTGAAGTAGTGCAGATTCACATTTGTTAAAAAATTAACCTCCAGGGGTAGGGTGGGTCCACAGTGGGAGCTCAAAGTTTTACATAGAAATATATAGGAAACATCTTCAAAAATCTCAAGAACATGCAGCAAAGTCATTGTTAATCGTGTTTATAAGAAAGCATCGTAAGGTACAGTGTAGCTGAGTCAAGTTTGTTTTAATCATGACCCGCCCCCTACCCCCTAATAAAACGACAATTCTACGATATATTTTCTTTGTTTGTTGGTTGGTTTGCATAAGGACTGCATTGTAATTAAACTAAGACTAATTTATGAAAGAAGACAAATAAAAATATCCTTGAACCAGGGAAGTATATAGCTGCAGAACTATTTCTCCGAAAAAAAATATATTGACAGGCCGGAGAGCCACAGTGCCATCCATCGTAAAAACTGTATATTTTTGCGCACAAAAAGTTGCGCTTAGTTCTGGATTAATTCTTCAAAATTCTTACCCCAATCGCAAAAAAGATAGACTAAGAATAATCCTTACTCCTCTATCATTTAGTACTCTCTTGGTTGACATCTGCATGAAGCGCTTCGGAAAGAATTATCAAGAGTGCAAACCAAAATGGCAGTATAAATTGATAAATAGACAAAATTTTCGACGATCTCAATTTCAGGGCCAGAAGGGCTATTTACAAGTATAAGGGATGTTTCGCTTGTAGAAACAGTAAAAAAAATATGTTAGAAACACATGGTTAGTAATATTTTGAGATGACAGTTTAAAAACATGGAGAAATAAATCGAGATCGAAACATACACTTTTTTGTGCGCAATAAATATACAGATTTTTAATGGGTGGCATTGCAGCTCTCCGGTTTAAATTGTCAATATTTTTTTTTCCCGGAGAGCTACAGTTCTGCAGCTAGGGTTTATATTAAGACGGGATGAGTCCTGTCCACATTCATTCACTATAAAGAGATTTAGGTAGAACAAAGTAGCATTAGATTGTGTGCATATCATATTGCATTAATTCAAACAAATTTTCGGGCCTTTCCGAGAAGTGGAAAAAACATCGAGATGTTCCGAGTTTTTCCGAGATTGTCCGAAAAGCCCAAGAAGATGAGTTTGACAAGATGTCTCTTCGTTGTAGTTTGAAGTACTGTTAATCCAGGATTCCTCTGACTCTAACCCTTGCTTTTATATCATGACTTGTGCCCCCGCACAATTCATAATATAAAAGCGGAGGTTAGAGTCAGAGGAATCTCGGATTAAGGTACTGTGAGCACTTAGCTCACTAAATGATACCCTGCCTCCCATAGTATGGTATACGTAGCTCTCTGAAAAATATACATTGACAGACTGGAAGAGCTATGTACAGTGCAACCAACTGAAGAAAAAAACTGAATGCTAGTATTTATTGCGCACAAAAAAAGTGTGCATTTCTCGATTAATTTCTCAGCGTTTTCAAGACTGTCATCTCAGAATATTACTAACGTTGTGTTCCTAACATATTCTTGTACTGTTTCTACAACAAAACATTCCGTATAACTGTTGTTAATTGCGTCCCATTGGCCCTGAAATTGAAAATCATCGAAAATTTATTTAAATACTGCCATTTGGGTTTGCAAGATAATCCGGTCCAGTGTGCTTATTGCAGATGTCAACTACACGAGCACTTGACAGAGGAGGAAGTAATTTTTTTGACAAGCTTTTTTTGCAACTGAGGTAAGAATTTGGAGGAAATAATCCAGAACCAGGCGCAACTTTTTGGGCGCAATATATATTGTTTCAATGGGTGGCACTGTACCTCACCGGTCCGTCAATATTTTTCGGGGAGCTACAGTTCTGCAGCTATAAGAGAAGTTGCTGATTTAGAGATGGATACGCGTAAGCGTAACAGTCCCCAAAAGCAAAACATGGACTTTGTCATTATAATCATATGGGATGCGCATTTTTTATACCGTATCATTTGGTGTGCTTAGTGCTCACAGTACCATGGTTTAAAAGGTCTAGCGCCTGTGGTACATATACAGTATATCTGAAAATGTCACATTTCTGTATTCAGCGGTTTATTTTTAATTTTAGGTGTTGTACTCAGACAAGTCTAGATTTAAGAAAAACACAACATACAGCGGGATTATCCTGAAATCATGCGCCTTTGGTCATTACTAAAGAACAGGGGTATAATTGTCTCTGTATATGATTATACTGTACAAAGAGAGTTAACTCCTAAAGAGAGTTTAGTGTACGAGACCACAGGCATCAAACTCGCTTGAATTGTTGACCTCCTATAGTATACTGAGTATCTTTAATATATACTCGGGTCACAAATTCAAGGCAGTTTGATGCCTGTGGTACAGATGACCTTGGTGAATATTTTCCTCAACTATATACTGCATTGATTTATTATCCAAGATGTTTAAACCCATATATACGTGTCTGCTATTCCAAAACTGCTCATCTTCGAAATTTCTCCAGGAACAATATGATAAAATCCTAATTAAAAAAATTAAATAAATAAAAAAAATGAGTGATAATACTTGTATTAAATCAATTTGGAAAGGCTGAAAAATATATTAATTCAGTTTACTCGGTCGTACATTTACAGAGAAAAATAAGTTGAATCTAAATTGATGTAAGCTATCTTTGAATTAATTAAAAGGATGTACTGTCGTTTTTTTTTTTTTAAATGATCAGCCAGGGAAATATTTTTCCCGAAAAACGTATGACTTAAGCCCAGGCCGAAAAAAGAGGGAAAAAGAAGATGTAATGCCCGAACTCGGGGAGGGGGGTTGGTTTCGAAATCTTTTACCTCCAAAATTCCAAATTTACTACTATATGACTATATTGCAACAAAAAGTGCATGGGGAGGGGATGGGCAATGTAATGGCCTTTCAATAAACATTTTTAATAGTATAAATTAAGATGTTATACATGTAGGTCTACATGTACATATAAGTTTGGGGGAAAAAGGCAGGTTCCCTGTTGCAACATATGCCTCTTACGATTCATCAAAAGTACCTTTTATGATTATTCTTTCGGGGAATAATAATTGTACTTCTCGAACATGTGGAAAATATACTGTATTTTCCTTTTACAGCGATTTTATATTTTTTCATGATGCATAAAATATATCATTGGTTCAGGACAATAATTCGCCAAAATATTAATTTGGATGCTGCAGGCCTATCTTTATGTAAGTTTCTTTCGAGTTTATAATTTTATAAGCAAAATCATGGAGAGATAACTCCTGCCTACTAACTTGCAAGCGGTACCACCAGATCCGCCACAAGTACACCTATTATATCATTGGATTATTTTTTTCTCGAACCATGTAGTTCAATGACCTGGACATGGCTTTTAAAATCTTACTCTAATTTTTTCAGCTAGAAATTCGACAGCAATGAATAAAATATAAATACGAAGATAGTTTTACTTAGGGTACTGAATGCTTTGTTTACATCACGATTGTAGAAAGGGAACGAGGTTTACAATCACGATCTATTCATAACATTCACGGATGACAGAAACTGCGCGCGCAGATCCGTTGCTATAATGGGTTCATCGATTCTTATTAATATTCATGAAGTTACCTTATAAGGACGTGACAATCGGAAAATTGACCAATCAGATTACGCCATCAAACGTAAACACTGTTGCGTCGATTATTTTAGAGTCGTCAGCTGAGAGAGGAAAACAGAGGAATAATACAACGAAATATTCACTGAAAATTATCGAATTTTGAAACTAAGTTTGATTAGTTTTGCTGAAAGACGTCTAAATACTGTTAATACGTGAGTATGACCACCATTTATCGCCATTATCATTGTAAATTTTAGTCTTCAAGTTTGACAGCTGCATCGATTTGACCTTCATAATGGCTGCCAGTTTGTTTTGTACATACGCTGTTATAAAATCGGTGCAATGATAAAAATGCAAGCATTTTCTTGAATCAGTTGTATGCGTAGAATAAACAAAAGTGCTTTGTTTTACCGGATAACATCAGTGGTATGCATTTTCCTGTTTTAAACAGGTCAGTCGTTGACGCGTTCTTTGTCCAGATTCGGGCGGATCCTCTTTTTGTTGAGTTGTGCTTGTTGAATCTTGATCGATCAAATTAACTTACTCCGTCCTTTGTAAATACGGAACATGTTTATCCTTTATATGATGCATAGACCTGGAAATTGGAAAATTTAATTGAAATAGCTAAGTAGTTTCTTGGTGAAAATGATGTCTGCCCGTGGATTTACATTTGCAAAATCAGTTAGCAACGCTCTGATCAATATATTGATTTCTCGGAGTATATTGGTTTATGGTTGAGAGTTTCTATAATCATCATGTAAAATGTTCTGTTAAAATAATTGGAAACTGTGCAATAAAAATTCTGTTTCAGCTTTCCAATTCCTGGCTATATAGCTATTTTTAGATGCATAAATGGCTGATGCAGCATTTCTGTGTATTTTTAGATAGGTCTTACGTTACATGTATCATGTATATAAATTAACCAACCAATGAGATTCTTTAAGATGCATGTTTTAAATAATTTTGATAAATATACAATAAAGATATATCTTTATTTTTTTATTAAAAGAAAATGATTCTTAATTTATTTTAAATATCTATATTAAAACTGAAATTTTTAACCTCAAATTGAGTGCCTTCCTTTATTTTTCCACAAAAAAAAAAGTTTTTCAAAAATCCATACTGTATATTCTTCAGTTTGAGTTTCTTTAAAGTAAAAAGTAAATACATGTACAGACTGTGGACAAAAGTATCGGAACGATTTACGTTAGTGTATTTATTGATGCACATGTTCGCGTTATTTATAGCTGGCATTTTCGGTGTAGATACGATTTGATGCTACACCTTGGGTATTTAGGTTGATGACTACTTCCTGTTTACATTCACTACGTCATTATTTATCGTCTGCAATCTAAAAGTAAGTAAAATCCACAGGCACCTGACGTTACTTATTTTTCTTTTAATAAAAAAAATATACACATACCGAATAATAAACAAGGTATCCATCGAAACCCGCCATCTTGGATTTTCGAAGTAGGTCATCACTTGTATTTTCGTCTGAAACTCCGTCAAATAAATTCCCTGCAACCATATTCTTTCTGTAGCCAGTCTTTCGAGGTCTAAACTTATGGACACTGCAGCCAGGAAGGCGCATTACACTTGCAAATATTGAAAATCCCTCGTCAAACTCGACCTACTGCTTCAACATTCCGAGAAATCGCCAAAAGGGGGCCGGAAGTTTACATACGACTTCAAATTCTTAGGGAAAGCCCTTTTTTGATTGGTCAATATATTTGTGTGATTTATTTTTAAAAAAACCGGCGGAAGTTAGTACTTATTCCAAAAACAATATTTCAGACAATAATACAACGTAATATACATGTAAGAACATTCTTTTTATTTCTCTCAAAATAATTTTGATATATCTTGATTAATAAAGCGATTATATTTTGTAAATGTCGGAGATCGGCCTGATCATGCTAGCTGATCAATGAACATTTTCGAGACAAATTGAGTTGGTTGTAAGGCCCTACTTACATGCACTAAATATAATTAATAACACTGTCATTATTGATGCCCTGATTGAGCGCTATCCGTGCAGAAGATTGACTTTATAAGTATGTACGCACGTGTGTGAGAGGGGGGGGGGGTCCACACTAAAATTATCCCAGGGAATGTTGAGATCTGCAATTTTATGTATTGCAATAAAGTAGTGACATGGCGACATTTTTATTTTTTTCTTGGTGACAGATTATACATATACATGTTGCATAGGCTTATATTTGATTTCATTACATATCCTTTTTTCAGTGTGATCCTTCTCCTTTTTCAATTAAGCATATGCCATGTATATATGTATACATATATATAACTGGATGGTTTGCAGTCTATTGTTTTTTGAAAACGATTCAATTAACTCTAGATGATTTGTTATTGATTTTTTTAAGCCCCCCCCCCTCTTTTATTCAAAATTGTTTCGAACGCAACGACCTGTATAGATTAATATAGTATATTTTACAGGTATATTTATAAGAAGTGTTTTATTTTTCCCATTTTGCATTTTTTTCATTTCTATAATCGAAATATTCATTAAAATTTCAAAGTAATTATGACACCCCGCTTTAGATCCACCACAAAACTGACAAATACGGAATTCCCATTAGCATATTGATGTAAACTTCCGGCCCCCTTTTGGCGATTTCTCGGAATGTTGAAGCAGTAGGTCGAGTCTGACGAGGGATTTTCAATATTTGCAAGTGTAATGCGCCTTCCTGGCTGCAGTGTCCGTAAGTTTAGACCTCGAAAGACTGGCTACAGAAAGAATATGGTTGCAGGGAATTTATTTGACGGAGTTTCAGACGAAAATACAAGTGATGACCTACTTCGAAAATCCAAGATGGCGGGTTTCGATGGGTACCTTGTTTATTATTCGGTATGTGTATATTTTTTATATTAAAAGAAAAATAAGTAACGTCAGGTGCCTGTGGTAAAATCTGTCCCCAAAAATCATGGCTGAGAATCGTCATTATGCATCGGATGGTCTTAAAAAATCCGTTGTTTTATTAGTTCAAAATGGAAATTCTTTTCAAAAAGTTGCAGATATGCTTAAAATGTCTAAAACAACTGTGCATCGAATTTATAAAAATTTTTGTGAACGAGGAACTGTAAAAACTGCCCCGAAAACAGGTAGGAAAAAAAGTTTGAGCGATCGTGACGGGAGAAAAATTTTGCGAGAAGTAAAAACTAACAGGAAAACTCCGCTGGCTGATTTGACGGAAACATTCAACAACAATGAAAACAGAAATGTGTCTAAAAAGACAGTGTGGCGATTTTTGAAGAATCAAAAATATCATCGCTGTGTCTGTAAGAAAAAAATAAGGATTTCCCCTGTAAACAGACAGCGGAGAGTAGCATGGTGTCGTGCGAAATCAACATGGACAGACGAAGACTGGAAAAAGGTAATTTTTTCAGACGAGAGTCAAGTTGTTATTGGCAGTGACAATAAAGTTTACATCTGGAGAAAAAGTGACGAAGCATTTAGACCAGAGTGCATTTCACCAATTATTATAAAAAACAAGAAACTTTCCGTGATGGTTTGGGGTTGCATAACCTATCATGGCGTCGGGACATTAACACGTGTGGAGGGAAACATAAATTCAGATAAATATATTCAAATTATAGATGACAATCTATGGCCAGTGATAGCAAGACACTTTCCGGACAATAATTATATTTTTCAAGATGATAATGCACCAGTTCATCGGTCTAGGGCAACGAAAGCTTTCATGGAAAACAGCCATATCAATACAATGGAGTGGCCAGCGCAGAGCCCCGTATTAACATCATAGAAAATTTATGGTTAAAGATTAAAAGAAAAATAGAACAATCCATGCAGGAAATAACTTCTGTGGAACAATTATATGATAAAATATTTTCAATTTGGACTCGGTTTGATTGCGTAACAATTCAAAATTTATATCGATCTCTCCCCACAAGAATCGACGCGGTACGTAGGGCCAAAGGATACATCACAAAATATTAAGGTAAGTTTTAAAAAATAACCTTTGTTTTAATCAGAGAAATGCAAAATTGTTTCTTCTTTCAAAAATTGTAATTTATATTTATTAGCTTTTACGTAATACGGCTATTTTAAGCATCGAATCAAACGCGAGTATTTTCCAAATATAAAACGACGACGTAAATCGTTCCGATACTTTTGTCCACAGTCTGTAGTTATATATCCTCAAATATTTATGAAATGTCAAAGTCTAACGTATACATGCATGACTAGTCATGTAATTCCTTCTAAACAAATTTTCCATATTGCATCATTACCCGCAATACTCTGTTTTACCTTGAAAAGTAAACTTATGAGGCCATCAGGGCATTTAAAGTTACTTGCCGGGTGTCAGTTGGTTAAGCTCAGGGAGCACCACAGGACATTTTAATGCCAAACAACCAAAATAGGTATTGTTTTCTTCCTATTGAGTGAAAAAATATAACAATAGACCTCTAATTGAGAAGTCAACAATATAGGTATTGTTATTTCATTTTAGCATATATACGTACAATAATCTGTATTAGCCTTATGAAGAAGAGGTGTTTTTAGGAAAATTCATGTATATTCTTTGGAGTCAAACAGTTTTTCCCATTAGATACTGTATATTTTAGTAAAATTTGCACCACATTGTGTAATAGGGAGTGAAATCATTTCTCCAGTACATGTATGACTACATTACATACTGTATTGCACAGTCAGGCATGTTACCTAATGATTCATGGTTGACTGAATTCTTACCCCTGTTTATGACAGCATAGGTATTAAACCAGGTAGTTGTATTATGCAATTGTACATGTGATCAAAACTGAAATACAAAATTACTTGATAAAATTCACTCTAGCATGTTAACTTTTAATACTTTTAATGGACTTTAATGAAAGTTAATTTATCAGGTCAAGTTTCATGTTTTTTTATTTGTTTTATATACTTGTTATCATTAAATTTACAAATTAATTCAATTGAATTCAATTTAAAGAAAATGATATGAATTAATTGTTTGAATTTTACTCATTGATATTTAAATATTTGAACTGACAACTGATTTTATTGCATTGGTATTTTACAGAGAATCACAGAATTAAAGAATTACTGCTTAGATCAAGACAAGAACACCCTCCACTAGCAACCGAGATATATATATACAAGATCAACCTTCACTAAACACTGAGATACCTAGACACAACCACGTCACCACTAACAACTGAAGCAGCTAGATCCACCCCTTGTGCCAATATGTTCAGCAGTGTGGCCAACTATTTGTTTGGATCCTCCCAGCCTGAAGAGGAACCTGTTAAAGAGATGGAGCTGGAGACAGCCCCCGCCAAAGATGATGACTGGCTAATTGTCAATGTACAAGGTATAAACAAATGGAACTGTAGGAGTTAATTCCCTTTAACACATTCATTTTCCAATGCATGTTCAATTAATATGAAGAAGATAACCTTATTACTGCAAAATCTATCATAATTTCTATATAAATTTATTTTTTTCTATAAATCAGATAAAGCATACTGTTTAAGTAATTTATTGTGGTCTTAATGTTTGCATGCTTTTTGTGATGGTGTCCCATCATTGGTTATAATGATCCGCACACCTTATATTAATTGTGTACTTATTTTGACTGGTTCTTTGGCCAATGTTTTTCATAAATACCAACATAAAATGATTCTAAATATAATGTACATAGATTTTAACACTTATCAATATAACTAATTCAGGGTTGCATGTGCAATCAGAAAAAAATATTGAATATATAATGAAATAAGTACACATATAGTATATTTGCACAAACTTTAGCAAACTAGCTGACCGGGCCCTCATAGTTTCATGGTGCTGTAGAGCATGTCATATCTTTTGATATAGCTTAGCATTTGACTAAGTCTGTATACTATATTTCCTGGGTGTTGTAATTTTGCATAAAAAAGTAAAAAAAAAAACAAACAAACAAACAAACAAAACAAAAAACAACATATCAACATGATAACATATATAATTTTTAATTAAATAAAAAAAATCAAAGTTTTTCAACATGTAAAATTAAAAGAATAATTTGAAAAGAAAATCGATAAAATCTCCAGGTGTTATTTTGAGAGCAAAATCTACAGTACATGTATATTAAAAGATAACGTGTCAAGAAATTGTGCTTCAGAAAAAAAAATAAAATAAATTTTTTTGGCTTGATCTAACTTCCTGAAATAGACCCTAGTAAAACTGCAAAGTAGAATTTCTCCTTGCAGATAAGACTACGTGTGTCACTGTACCATCAATAGGTCGTGTGTATGGGCATTCCCCCTATAATAGTGACAGCGACACTGGTGTGGGCCATGGCACGCCCAGCTCGTCTGGCGCCTCCACGCCTAACTCCAGGTTCTTTCTGCGCATGCATGAAAGTTGGATTTTAACCCCACCTCCTTGTTTTACTGCAGGCGGCCCTTCATCGCAGGTTCCCATGTCAGAGATGGAGAACCTTCTCATAGAACACCCCAGTATGTCTGTGTACAATAGTCACTGTTCCAGAGGCAGTTCAGGCGAGGACAGCAATCTCTCCGAGTCTTCCAATGATAATTTCAGCAATGTTGTGGCCAAACGAGGCCTCCGTCCAAGAAACAGTAAAGGACAAGTTGTCCGACAGGCTCCCAGGCGGCCTAACGCAGTGGCAGCTCGCTGTGGAATTCTTGCTCAAGCCGAGGCCTATAGGTCTGCTCAGCGGGTCAAACAGTACAAGGAAACTCGTAACCTCTCCAATGGCAGCTTAGATAGACACAACAAGAATATGATTCGTAATGGCAAGAAATACAGTCAGAAAAACAGAATCCAAACCCCATCAGCACGCACCTTCAACAACAAGCAGATGAAGCACTGAACATTTTGCCAAATATAGTCCCTTACACCTCTGATTTTAAATATATCTTTGTCATTTATTTATATCCTTTTCCAGATTTTGTTTTAGTTTAGGTGAATTGGGTAAAATTATGCTTGAAACTGATTTAAGTAAAATTTCCATATTCATATTTCTGCACATTTTAATTGTGTCAAAGACAAGCATTAAATTTTATCACCTGTTGTGTTGTATGTAGATTGTGGTATACTATAAAAATCATTCCACTGTTACTTGGAATGTAAAAAAAGAATTGTTAGATAATGTTTTAAGTTAGATGTCCAAAAAAAAAAGTTTGTTGTTATGCCTTGTATATATAATGTTATCAATAGTGAAAGACTAACATGTGTAAAATACCTCATATTTTGATATGATAACATGGTAATTGCTTTTCTTGCAAACATTTATTGGTGCATGAGTTTTTAATAATCCATTGTTTTGTTGGGAAATTACAAAAAAACTCTTTTAAAAGTATTTATCCACCGAATGTTTATAAACTTACTTTTAAAATAATAGCTACAAATGTTTTTCTTGTATTTGATCTTATACATGTTTATATATATATGAATAGAAATGACCTTTTCTTTTCAATTTTTAAGTAAATTTTAGCAATTGTTACCAGTTTCAAGTCTGTAAAATGTAAATAGTTACGTAACATTTTATTCCATCAGCATTTTATGTGCAATACCTGAGTTAATTTACCCATAGTAACAGAACTACTATTGTAAATACCGGTTACACACTGTTAATGGTTGCCTATTTACCTGGTAATATGTTAATGTTTCTAAGATCTCAGCTCATACAATGTATTTAGTGGTCCCTTAAAAATCTGATTACCATCACTATCTATCTATGCAATGTGTTTTAGGACCATCTATCTTATGGAACTGAAGAGCCTTTTTTGAAAGAACTTCGTTTAATAATTGTTTTACTATCCTTTATAATGGTGCATGCTTGAAAATGAAATTCCTTACTCAGGTGAAAAAGAATGCAGTGTGAATGAAAAACCAAAGATAAACAGAATTATGAATGAGCTGCATAAACGTTTGCAGAAGAATAGCAACAAATAAGTAAAGTGGTATCTGAATTTTAGAATATGTTATTTTAAAAGGGAGAGAGAGGATATCTAGTTAAGCAAGCAGTGGATTTTTTTTTGTTACTGCCATATTACAAGAGTTGGATTGAGGAAGTTTCTTCACTAAGTCTTTATTTGGTTTGTTAATTTTCAAATTCCTAATTAAAAAAAAAAGACACCATTGTTATTCATTATCATAATAATCATCATATTTAATATGTTAAAATATAACACACATCCTGCTATTATGCATTGGTATCTGATGTTTAAATTATTTTACAACTGTTGATTTATTAAAGAGTTTTTCTTTTGGTATGATTAGAATCTCGAATTTTTATCAATTTCTTCTAAAGTTGTATTGTGGATTTAAATGTGAAATGAATAGACTAAATGTGAGATGATGTAATATTCGTTATTTATTTTGTGCATTTTATTGCGATATTAAAACTTGCATTTTTAAAAAGCTGTCTTCATTGTCATTTGTTCACTAACTTATATCTCTTTCCATTGATGTCAAGAATGATAACATAAAGATATGAATTTATTTTATCATAGGCCGGTTTTGATATGTCAGATTTTTAAGACATTTTTTCTTAATTATTTGATTTAATTTAGTTTGGACACACCATTTCCCCTCAAAATCATAAAAAAGTCTGGTCCTAGATCATGGGTTAAACAACAAGGATGTTTTCAAATATAATGTTTGCATACGAATTTAACACATATAAAACTGTCCCAGTATATTTTCATCGCTACATGTTCTCCTTTAGGTGTAAGTCATGAGCTTCCTCTTTTTGGGACTATAAGAAGTACTAACTTTTAAAATAATTTTCAAAGGAAGGATGCATCTAATAATTTAGAAATAAATATCACGCACAGAAATTTTACGTCTATCCTTAAGAGATTTTTTGAAGGAATGTAAAACATATTTCACATTCAGTCTGTAATTTTGAATGAGGTTACTGGCATGACAATAGTTGACAATTCTAGGAAATAAACTAAGGATTAACATTTAAGTAGGGAATGTCACTGCCCACCTAATGGTCATTACACCTGCTGAGAAGTGTATACATGTAAGCATATTTAGCGGTATTTAAAACAATTACAAAGGAACCCCCTAGCAAGTCGCAGTCTGGTATGCCATTTATATCAGACAAATGTCACGGGTGAAAGAACATCAGTGACAGTAAAATGACCGAATCCCCCAAGGACAAAATATCAAGATGTCCACATATCACCCCAGGTGTTTCTTTCCAGACATGACTTTTTTTGCTCACTATTTAGTGCATCTGTTTATGATGTGATAAGTCGAAGTTATCAATCTTATTCGTTATCTTCGCTTATGCGCTTTTCAAGAATTCTTTTAAAATAATTTTTAAATGATATTTCACCCAACATGCCCAAACTCTTGTAATTGTTCTTGAAACAACACCCATAATAATCGGGGTTCATTGTAAATGCAAGTCCACATATACATGTACCGACTGATATATTAAACAATATCTGGTGCACTGGAAATTTATGAATTACTGGTAATATGAATAACACATTACTCACATTGTCCTTAATTTTGATTCAGAACAACTTCCTACAGTTCAGTCTATTACGAGTTACAATGCATAACACATCCTTAGTTGTCACATGCACCGAGAAAGATTTACGCACAAAAATACCGAACATGATGAAATCGAGATTATCTGAAAAAATAACAAACGACTATATGTAGCAGTTTTTCCCCAGAATGGTGCTTAAACTTATTCAACAGCTATACTAATGGGAACAAGCAAATGCAAAGATCTGTGCTCCCTCCCCCGCTTTCAGTGTCTCTGTGGTTGAGAAGTCATTATTTATGGCATATTGTGTTAAATATACGAACGCTCTATCAAATGTCATTCAAAAGTTATCACCAAAATTGATTTTTTTTTAAAAATAAGGTCAAACATGAATGTCAAGGTCAAGGGAATGTCAACGCTCGGAAATTTCGTGTCACAGGTAATACAAATGTCCAAAAATATAAAAGCCCTATCTCTTCTCTATATCCAAAGTTATAAGGAAAAAGTAACATTTTTGAAAAGAATGTCAAACGTAAAGGCCAACGTCACAGGTTCAAAAATCTTAGTATACATAGAAAGGTCTTGTCACAGGTAATATACACACGTGAAAGGTGAAAGCCCTAAATCTTCTCATCCAAAAGTTATGACCAACTTTAAAGTTTTTTTTAAAAGTTAGTCAAACTTCAAGGTCATGGTCATAGTTCATTTTGAAAGGTCTTGTGACAGACGAACAGACGAATGAGAATTACTAGTAATTTCCCCTCGCTTTCGCGAAAGCGGGGGGAAATATGTGTAATTCATACTAATGCTAAATATATTCAAGTTGTGAAAAAATGTCCATAAGCTTCAGGATTAAATGAAGGAGAGGCGGGAGGTGTTTTATTTATAATAAAAGTTCAAATTATTAGCAAATCTGGAATTTAAAAAAAAAATGCTTCAAAATTCAAGAAGACACATGTCACGTGGAGGGATAATTTAATTCGACTATCAGTGTAGGTTTTAGAAAGAATGCCCTTAGTCAATAAAAGTTACAGTTGTAAAGCTAAAACACTGATACGAAAAGAATCCAACAGTGTAGAGAAGAAAATAGAGGTACTACATGTTTATATATATATATAGAAGCTCCATCTTGACATCTAGAAGTTTGCAACAACAAACTACAAACATCTTTTACATAATAAGGACATAAGATACTCAAGGATATGTTACAGGAAAGTAAACTGTTTGTGCAGGTTCAATACTTGCAATTTAAAACAAAATTCTATTTATCAAGAAATCTGAAATGTTACAAACAAAGGAACCTTACCCTTTCATTCTCCAAAAATTCATACTTTCAATATCTGTGTCGATGGTATGACATTCATTATTCAATGTATACATATGTACATACGTGTAATTATGAAAATATTATATGTCAGATATATTCAGTTCATGTTAGAAAAGCAAACGGAGAGCTGCTTTTTAGGTGGAAATATTTAATAAATAATGAAATGCTCTCTTTGCTTGTTTTTATGGGAATTATGTTGCAGCATCCTAGCAACACCAGGGGTCCCAAGTCGACACGTTGCCGTGGGATATCGTTTCTTGACTCGGGGCCCCTAGTATTGCGAAGATGATAAATATTGTAGTTGTTGCAAAAAAAAAAAAACCGTTTATGCAGATTGTGTATTTGTTTTTTGCAATATCTCAAATATTAATTCCAATACTATCAAACAAAGAAAGGCATTTTATTATATATTTACAAATACATTTAATTATCAAAAGTAAAATAAAGCAATTAAACATCGAATGTCAATTTACTTTTCGTTGATAAAAGAGCCACTTTCAAAAATAAATACAGGACAGTATGCTTATCGTTGTTTTCTTTTCTTTCTTTTTTTTTTTTTGTTTTTTTTGTTTGAGAAAATTTATTTTAACTTTCACACAAATTATACAAATATGAAACAGACGTATATATAAATACATATACAAGAAGGTTTATAATAAAGCAAAAACAAAAAAAGAAATAATAAAAACTAGTGTGAAAGTTTATGTGGAAAGAGAGAGGGGGAGAGAAAGGGGGAAAGAATGAGAAAGTGAGCGAGAGAAAGATGAGAGGGCACACACTTTATTGAACAGGTAACGGTAAGAAAATTTTAAAGGTTTTCAACTATTTCCTGCCAGTGTCTTTCAAATTCATCAGATTTACAATTTTTTAACAGAAGATATTTTTCTACTCTAATTCTTTCAGTAATAACATTTTTTAAAGTCTCAATGTTTAGTTTTATAATTTTGGCATACTTACTCGCAAAAATATCGTTGTTTTCTTATTGATGATATACTGTTATATATAAAATCACCTATATGTTTTTGTGGCCTCTGTATACTATTGTAAAATGGTGAAGAGATTCAAATAAATGATTGATTGATTGATTGATTGTACTATGATTAATGGCAATGATTTTCTTCTAATTAAGAAATAAAGAAGAAAATATTCACTGGATGTTAATATATATATGTTATGTTATATATATGATTCTTCTATTATATGTGTTGGTGAAAAAATGCATATTTTCATCTCAGTAAGCATCCATCACCGAGAGTTACCTTTCTTTAAGGATATTCGATCCTCAGCCAGGAAGGATAACTACAGTGTATTTGAATAGTTGGTTTATTTAAAAAGTCTCAAAATTAAGCTTGAAATTGAAAGCTTTTCGTGCAACAATTTTCAATATTTCTGCTTTTCCATGTGATTCAAGATTCTTTTCAGTCGTTTAAATTGTCTTTTAAAAATTTGACTTCTGTATATACCCCACGAAGAACAAAAATAAATACATGTTCATAGACATCGAATTCCCTTTACTCTAGTCTCTAATACCAAGCAGTGATCAATTTATCAGGATGAATTGAATGTAGAGATGATCTGTGGCGTCTAAAAACGATAATACAAATGTTTTACACTATATGAATTTTATAAAAAATGAACTAAATAAAAAAACTAAAGTGTCGTGTGAAAACGTATGAAAAACAGGCAATTTTCTCTAAATACCTGGATACCTATAATTTTTATCGTAAAATATATTTTTTGAACAATTTTCAATCAGAAAATATAAAGGGTACTTTGATTGGCATATCCTGAAAAAAATATTAGAGATTTTTATAATTTCCTCCATATAATATGATTAATTTAAATGATGGACTTTGAAGAAATAACGTGGGTATATATATCCATTATTAAAATTCAGAGACATTTTTGTGAGCATTTTCAATTATTCAACTGATTTTCAGGGCTACCTTAAAATATTTTTGTAATAGGAAAAAATGATAACTCTACATATGGTGTGGTACATGAATGTACATAAAATTACTCACCCAAAAGAGAGAGATATAAACGTAAAATCTATTTAAATACCGAAAGGCATCTTTATAATGAATACATATTGGTAAAGTTACGGTTTACAAGTCTGAAATATGAAAATATATTTGTTGTCAGAAAAAAGAGAGCCATATCTGAATTCTACAGATGATATATGCTCATCGGTTACTGAGTTTTTAAAACTGTTTACAAGGAGATAATGAAATATTTTCGTATTTGTAACAATAAATTGTTTTTGGTCAAATGGGCAAAAGGAGATACATATGTAGATGTCAATGATTAATCCTTCCAATGGACATCATGTACATTTTGATCTGCAACAATAAAATAATTCTGGTGGGACAAATCAACGGATACGAGTACTCGTATATTTTAAATTGGGTGTTAAGCTCACCTAAGCCAAGGGCTCAAGTAAGCTTTTCTGATCCCTTTTTTATCCGGCGTCCTTCTGTCTGTCCGTCTGTTAGTTTTCATATTTTTGACTTCTCAACCATCGAGCCAATATCAACCCATTTTGGGTAAAAGAATTTAAATTTCTTTAAAGGAAGGGCCAAACGTTATTCCTAGGAGAAATAATTACAAAAAATATTGAAAAACTAATGACATCATTTAAAAATCTCTCAAAAACCGTGGGCGAAAAAAATGTGAATCTTAAGTGAAAGTAGAATAATGTTCAAAGCATGACCCCTGTTGTAATTGTACAGACAAAATGGCCGATCAAATTTTTACAAAGGAATACATGGGGAAAATCGTAAAAGTCCTTTTCTCAAAAACAGCAAAGCCTCCATTGTTCATATTTGTATGCAAGCATCTTCAGGCTATGTAGATTAATGTTTATTCAAATCATGATCCCGATGGTAGGGAGGGGCCATGATGAGCAATCAAAGTTTTACACAGGACATCAAGAGAAAAATCTTTAATTTAAAAATCATCCCAAGAACAACAACTAAAACCAAATTTACTCATATTCATATGGAAGCATGTTCAGGCAGTTTGTAAAAATCATGACCCAAGGGTTAGGAAAGGTCACATAAGAATTTGGAGAAAAAGATCCTTTCAAGAACAGCAAAGCTATGATTAGTAAAATTTATCTGGAATTATCCTCAGGTTATTTTAGACACAAGTTTGATAAAATAATGACCCACAACGGGCAACCAAAAATTTACAAAGAAATTACAAGAAAATTTATTAAAAGGCTGCATTTTAATCTTTAATCTAATTCTTTTTAAGAACATCAAAAGCAAGATTTTCATTCATATCAATTAATTCAGAAGCAACCTAATGTACATGTATTGTAGATTCAAGTTTGTTCAAAACTTAAAATCCCTATCCCTCTTTTATATTTAAACTTTTCAATACTTAACAGATTTCTGCTTTTTCCTGGCCAAAGTGCTAATGTGAGCGATGTGTATCCTTTTCAAGAGTTATTCCATCTAAAGCTAAAACTCGGTTTTTACTTAACTTATTCTTGATATCATCTTGGGAAGAGTATTTACTTCTCATTTGTAAGAACTTTTTATAACATACTCAAGTATTCAGTCATCTAATCAGTGATAACTATGTAAAACAATACAAATATCGAAACTGGTAATTGACACATACATTAGATAAAAGTTCACTGACAAATTCTTTAATATAGTCCATGTCAATGCCCTTTCATTTTTATTCATTTGATGTGACGAAGGAAAACATAAGTACCAGAGCGCAATTGACATTGTTTTGCAAACATTAACTCGTCAAAATGAGGAGGGCAGCATCATACATGTACATTGTACCATGAACATATTCGAAAGCCCCAGTTGTGTAAACTCAGTGTGGACATATACAGTCATCTTCTGATTTGATTATCAGAATTGTTTCCTGGACCTGTCTCCCAGCCTCTGATACCAAGCACCAGAGAGAAGAAAGGTGAGACAGTTTTACCAGTGGACTATTGAAAATCAAAGAGATGTCAACTCTCCTTTTCTTTAAGTAAAACTGGCATACACGTACGATCTAACAAATTCCACTGCAATGTTCAATGTTTTATGTATCAATGACAGAAGTTAATGCGAGAAGTTTTAATGTATAGTCTATTTGGAAAAACAACAGTGAAAGATTTTGAACTTATAACTAGTTGTCGTGATATCCTGCATTCATCTGCTACCAGAATATCTACAATAATACCCTGTATGTATTTAAAGGTGAAGTTCAATGGAAAAATCAAGAACTTTTCAAGAAGCAAAGCACTATTTCACAGATGTATGGTCTCCTGAAAGGAAACGAGTTATTGTAAATCTCACACACATCAAAGAAATTGTCCAAGAGCAGGCCAAACTCTATTGTATGGTTTCTATTGTGTACTCGGGTATCGGGGCTCTTGGTGGAGGACTAACATTAGCTGGGATAGTCACTGCTCCCTCATCACTGGACGTGTCCCTCGAATTCACCGAAGCTGGCATCGCTACGGGTGTAACGTCCGGGGCCTCAGGACTTATCTATGGATGTATCAAAATAGAAATTGTTAAAAAGAAATGCAGCGATGCAAAACTTTGCCTTGAAAATCACAATAGAACATCTGCAAAGATGAAAGACTTAATAAAAATACTGAAAAACGATAGTGACAACTTTGAAGCCAAAATAAAAGACAACAGGGATTTAGAAGTGTCTATGACATTTCAGGAAATGAACCGTGTGGGAGAAGCTATATCCGTTGCCAAAGAAATAAGAAATTTGATAAAACACTCCCATGCTGTAGATGTGTTTTCTGAAACCGGAAGATCAGATAAGGTCGCTAGGATCTTGGGGCTTGGTTCCTTGATGGATGATCTTATCCCGTCTGCACTCAAAGATGTCTCCGGGGGAGTTGTGAGACTTTCGATGAAGGTCTTGGGCACGTTTACTATCTTCGGAATTGTGTTGGACCTCATATCTCTAGTTTCGAATCTTTGGGAGATATATGGAATGGAAAAAGGAAAACTGTGCAAGGAAGCAAAAAGACTCAATGAGATTCTTGAGGTGTTGATGAAAGAACATGAAATTTTAAGTGAATATTTTGAATAATCAGACACATACTTAAATAAAATAAAAATTGAGATTATGTCTATCACCGATTTCAAACTTTTTTTTAATCATATTTGTTTCATTATCACTAGACTCTGGCTTAAAACATATCTAGTGTAAAAGTCTTTTAAAGATGAGACAAAATAGAAACAGAAGTACTATAACCCCCTACTGCTTTTTGATATAAGTTTGTTCCAATTAGTAATTAAGACTCGTGTTACTACATACATGTATAAATATTGTATGATGTAGAAATGGTAACCAATTTGCAAATTCGAAAAATGTATATGTGTACTAGTGTATTTTAGTGCAATTTCATCATTAAAATAGTTCAATATGAGTATTTTTTTTTTGATTAAGACTCAATTTTTCAATACGAGTTTATTTTGTTTAAATTTCATTAAAAGAACTTTCCACAAAGAAGGCATTAAATACAAAATTTTAGGTTAACAAAAAAAAAAAAAAAAAAAAAAAAAAAAAAAAATATTAAAATCACATTTTGAAGCAACGAATGAAAAAAGTTCACATTAAAAATAAATTCACATTTTGAAGCAACATTCGTATCTCTCCGAGAAATTTGTGAAATCCCTTTAATCAAATGTTATATCAAAAACATTATTCTAACCCCAGGTTATGAGCGGTTTATAAAGTGTAAGTCTCCGAAAAAAAACTTACGAAATAAGGATTTTTATTTGTTGGGTTCGAACTTGGAAAAAAGCACTTTCCGAAAAAATTTTCTATCATATTTTTTACACCTTTATTATATTTTTACACCTTTCAATGAAAGAACTTAACTCAATGTTTATTTCAAAATTGATTATGAATTTTAAAATCGTACAAAATATGTTTGGGTACATGAGTATTTCAAATTCTTCTTCTCAAAAACCAATAGGCCAGAAAAGATAAAATTTATACGCGAAAGCTTCCTGGCATAATATAAATTAAAAGAAGTAAGTTCAGTTACAACATAAAATGGTCCTGTCATATACCAATCAACTGACCAAGTCTTACCGTCCCATTTCGAACATTAACATAATGTGGAGATTTAGTGCTTTCATTTCCTATATATAAAAAGTATTTCCTCTGAGAGTCCCAAGTAATGAAACTCATAGATCAGGCTTTCATAGATAGATTAATGAAACTACAATGTTCTTAAATTTGAAGAAATGAGCGAATTTGAGCATCTTCCGACTATTGATTAAAACACCTGAGCCCATCCCACGATCCCAATTTTTTTCACGGATTAGAATCGATCTTCTGAAAAAGATCCTTCATAATATAATTATAAACATTTTAGATTAGAGTTTGGGGGCTATGCTAAATATTCAAAAATATTTAATTATGTTTTATCTTTTCAAAGAAATGTTCAAGATTTGAGGAAATTGTCGTCATAATGCATGGACAAGAGTATAAAAATACGTCCTTTTTTGATATGAAATCACCAAGAAATTTAGTGAAATTTAAGATATTTTCAACTAAATCTGTGCAGCATCTATTTTTCAGAAATTCACAGGGCCAAAAATGGCCAAAGTTGAACCTTCGGTTGGTCTTTGTATAAACCATGACCCTTGGTGGTAAGGTGTGGACAGAAAAGATGATCTATGTGGTAACTTCCATTCTTAATATGTTGATACAATATGTCCTGGTGAGCTTGAGATAAAAGATACAACAGAGTCTGACATAGAGTGTTTCATATTTGGATATTTTTTTACTTGAAAAAGAGTTAATGCTAATCTAACAACCAAGCTCTAAGATAAAACGTGATGACTTTAACTTTTCTATTGTCAACTTCCCTTAAGATTTAAGTCGTTCAACCGCGGGGCAAGGGTGGGTCACAGAGAGCAAATTAAGTTTTTCTAAGAAAAATATATACAAGGAAATCTTTACAAATCTTCTTCTCAGGAATAGCAAAACCATATTTGGTGTTACTTATAAGGAAGTGACCTTAGGTTGTGTAAATTCAAGTTTGTTCAAATCATAACCTATGGGGCCAGGCTTTAGTCTCAATAGGCAAACAAAGTTAACATAGAAATATATATGTATAGGAAAAACCTTCAAAGATCTCCTTCTCACGAATAGCAAAGTCTGGATTGGTCATATTTATAAGGAAATGCCCTTAGGTTGTGTGAATTCAAGATTCATGATAACTGTGGCTAGGTTGTAGTCTCAGTAACCAGTCACAGTTTAACATAGAAATATACCTGTAGATGTATGGGAGAAACCTTCAAGGATCTCCCTCTTAAGAATAGCAAAGTCATAGCAAAGGCAAAGTCATGATCGGTAACATTTATATGGAAGGTTCCTCTGGTAGTGAACTCCAAGATTTAATTTTTTCCCCCCAAATCACGACCCATGGGTTTTTTGAGGAACAGTAATTAGTGATGAAACTTTTACGTAGGTATACATATGAAAAATCTTTATCAATCTTCTACAATATACGAAAAGCAGGGATTAGACATATCTATATGGAAGCACCCCAAAGTAGTGAACATGCATTGTTGTTCAAATGATGACCCCTCAGGGGTAGGGAGGACCATAAGTTAACACGAGAATACATAGGTTAATTCGTTCATTTGCATTTTTTGCTATTAAGACGAATACTGAAAGATAAAAATGTTGATCTTTAAGTTTCATCAACAATGTGTAATAAAGATAAAAAGAAATACATATATGGGTTAAAACTATTTAAAACTAAGAAACAATGATTTCAAATTTCAGTTTTTTTTATTTTCGTAAATCTAGAATAATTTATATCTTCATTAAGAAAATTGAATATGTACCAGAAAACATTGAATTTCACAATTTTATCAGGTACAAATTAAAATTTGCACATACACGGTTTTCATAGCTAGACTATGCATGCACATGTATATAATCAAGAAATATATTCTCTGAAATAAAATCAACAATGAAAACCTTTTCAAATTTTGTGTTCATAACAATTGTGCTTTGATAGAACTATCATGATAATCTAACAAAAATATTTAAGATTGAGTAATGTCAAAGTGATTTTAAAAAAAAAAAGCAATTCTCTAAAATTTTTGCTCAAAAATGCCATCAACAACATTTTTTTCAAATGAATATTAGAATCGGCGATTGACACATTGGATAAAAGTTCACTATCAAGCTATCATGAAGTGGCCATGTCATTACACTATTATCGGTATGGGTTAAGTTGATTGTGGAAAATTTTTGTAAATACGTTCGGGAGAAATTGACAGCAACAATTACGTTATGTTACAATGACCTAAAATTAAGTCAGGGTTACCCCTCAATTAATATAAAACAGTATGCAACCATTGGCACTTTCAAAAAGTTCATTGATAAACTATTGACATGGCCGCTTCAAATATTCCCGTCATGATACATTTAATTTTATTATGTGATGTTATAGCAGTGGAGTCTTTTGCAGTAGTGAAACACTGGGGACCATCTGCAAGCGCAGGAAATATAGGTAAGGACATTTAAATATAGTTATTTAAAACAACGTGGTAAGCATTCGGAAAGTAAAGTCGGCAATGTGTATATCTTTTTATTATATACCTACTGTGTATCATTCAATTTTACTGTTGATTTTACGCAATCATGTGATGTTGTAATCTGACTTTCTGGATGACCACACTGTGGTTTTCTGAATCCACATCACCACTCTCTGAAACTGATGACGTAGTACGTAGAAACATGACGTTATTTAGTCCCTTGTAATTACGCTTTGTTTTATGGATAAATATTATACATTTGATCTCTAAAGTTTTATTTGCTTTATTTAGCTAGTTATGAGAGGGTATATAATAAATTTATCATTATAACAGGAACTTGATCCGAAGAGCCGTATCACGTCTCGTTGACAGGCGCGGATCATCAAAATGATAAAAACTCGACGCTTCGCGTCTCGTTAGATCTGATGATCCGCGCCTGTCAACTCGATGATACGACCCTTCGGATCAAGTTACTGTTATAATAATGTATATTTATGTATCCTATCTTAAAGCTTGATAAATCTGATTACACGTCTTAGTTTAGGTACGTCTTGTACTTTATGTAGAAAAAGAGACCAACACAACGAAAAGCCTGCATCGACAAGAAACTCAACAAAATGAAAAAGCGGAAGATGTCGGTATGGCAAATTGAATATTTATTTTGGTAATGGGCTGATCAGATATTCATATTCTTAATTCGTTTGTATGACGTAGATTTTTTTTAATATTTATTGTTATTTTGACAGTTTTAATCTTTGCATGGGTATCTCTGTGCACCGTATTTTTGGTATTCTTTGGGATTGTGGTAAAGATTGCAACAAGGTATGGGACAAAGCACATTTTATATATCTAAAAGTACAAAGAATAGTAATTTATTTTTAGTTTAAAAAGCTATGAATTACAAAACTATAATTAAAACTAATTTTTAAGTAACTATACCTTTATGCTAATTAGAGGGATAATTATTCCACGTTGTGGAAAATTATACCTTCATCAAGTTCAGCCAAAATAATAATAAAAACAGAGTCGTTTATAAAAAAAAATGAGATTGATTTTTAATTCATAAAAAAGAAAGCAAAATACTCGACCATGTAATTTTTAATATTGCCATTAGACTATAAATCTTTTTTTTTAATTTCAGAAAATACGTGAATAGAATAGGAGAGGTATATCAACATAAATTGACTATTGTTGAAAACCCTTTATATCAATTAAATCGGAAAGGAACTCCTTACATCAGATGGAAGAAATCTTTACCCACAATTCCAGAGGAAGACTTGGAGGAATACATAGCAGTGACTGGATTTCTCACATTTCATAAACCGTCCGTTAAATATTGTAGTCAACCAATCAGGAGTGAAGATTTATAATTCTAATCTGTTCAGTTTTAGTACAACTTCACTTAAGATCAAGATCTAGAAGTATGCATTCTATTGAATCGTACATGTACGGTGCTGTAATTTATTTTCCAGATACTGGGTATTTATATTGGTTTATATTTGATCTACCGGTGACTTTCACTTGCATATGTCTATCTAGAGTTACATTACTTCAAACTTAAACATCATGTAGATCCAAACGCTAAGACTAAAGAAAGTTCTTACATAGGATTGAAGTCTTATACAACACGCCATTACTGATCATTACTGGTGAAGTAAATTATGCTAATAAAAGGACCCTTATTTCAAAAAGGTTACATTTAAGGGAATCTCGATCTTTCAATTGGCGTCATAATTTCACAAACTGGAAGATAAGCAATGGACCTAGCATGAAAAAGATCTAGACACTTTGTCAGATTTCAATCATAAGATGGATATTGAAATCTCGCATTTCGCGATTAAGGCGCATATAAAAAAAACATTCTATCTTGCTGTCTTCTTTTATTCAGAAGTGAAAAAAAGTTAGACAGATTACATGATTAACTAGTATGCATTGGTACCAAGCTGAAAGGGCTTGTAAAATCAGTGTCTTTGTATGTCAGGCTTATTACTTAAAATTGAATCTTACTCACGTTGTAATCCACCTTATTTCCATAGCTCCTATTTAAGGAAGACATTCTTCAAAGTCATATGTCAGTTTTAAATATTTTTTCAGCATTCCAAATACTAAGTAATCAGATTAAATTAAATTATCATGCAAAGGGATAAGTGGCTCACATGATATTCATGTGATTTTCTATTTATCTGAATATTGTGTGTAAATCTTGTCAAAATTAAATATATATTTTCTCATGTGAATATAAAGTGAATTGAATTTTTTATGATATTCACATACAATCCTTTCTTTCAAACAAATTTTATTTGCACAATATTTATGCGATTTGCTCTTCAAGTAAATTAATGTCAAAACCATATCAAAATCGAATGAAGTTTATGAATAAATTTCACATGTCTTCTTTTTCATTTTTCTCATGCGAATTAAGAATTCACATGAATTTCATGCAGATAATATATAAAACTTCTGTAAGCTACTTTCCCTTTCTACTTATACTGGATGCCTCAACTTCATTAAAATCCTAACAAACCTTGTGTTTCAGTTTCTTTGTCTTTTGTGTATATCGTAGTATATGATATGAAGTCCATTTTCTCCTTTCTAATATTGACAGCAGTGAAGAAAAAACTTCAGGGACCCGTTTTACAAAAGAACTTATGACTATGAGACCAAAATTTGATACTGCTTATAACTTTCTTATATATATATTTAATAGAACAGAGTTTTATTCTTTTTTGATGGAATTGAAAGGATATGTTATCAATAGCAATTTAAAACAGAATTATTTATTATTACAAAATTTCACAGTCTAATTATGTTTTTGGTTGTTTTTGTAAAGTACAAAATTTTCGAGAATTGGTGTAAATTACATGTGGATACTTAAATTAAAATTAAATTTATGAACAACAGCATTCCACGATAAGTTTTTTAAGGGCAAGGTTTTTTTGATATTATTGATCAGCTTTTTCAATAAAACTGGAAATTGTAAATTTGCTTACCTTGTCATTTGCAAAATTATTTTGTTGAAAACATCTGATTGTACATACACATACTCTGAAGTTGATTTTAAATGGATGCATTAGATTTTGATTGATAATATCTAGGTAGCTTTTAGCGATTAGATTTTCAAACAATCTACCGAAATTCAAATGGGAGTTTATACATATTGACGTATTAGATACATGTATATCGATATATTACTGATAGTAATTTTCGTTCCTATGTTGACTTGATATATATATTTCATTGAACTTGAAATAAACGATGCCACAAATTCTTTTTCATCTTTTTTCATAATTATTTAGATATTTTACTATATAAAGACGTTAATGGTAAACAAAGAACAAAACTCGTTGACAAACGTAATGACTTCAACTCTTCTTTCGTCATCTTCCCTTACTCATGTTACTTAAATGAAGCATGCAGTATACCCTTAGTCAAACTTATTAAAATTAGATGTTAGATCCGATCGCATAATCGCTATACTAACGTTAGTGTATCGAGTATGCAACCGGATTTAACCATTTTAATTAGATTGACCCTTACTACCTGCATATTTGTTTATGTATCCCAGTCTATTCGATACGCCAGCGTATGCTCTACGTATAGATATATAATTTTTAAGATGAGGTCAGCTATTGACAAACAAGACTATCAACAATCTCGCTTAAACTTAGTCATCATTTTAGAAGTGTTATGCTCGATAGATTGAAACATTAACCTTGTAGGCAAATATACTATCTATAATTAAGTCGAATGGCGTTTTAGAGGCCTGTGTACATGTATGTATGTAATCGACTTTTGATCTTGAATACTGTGTGATATCTTCTTGTTATAATTCCTATTTTTGCACATATAAATTGTTGAAAAAGCAACAATTGTATCAGTCTTATACAGGAAGAAAATCAATTCCTATCTATACTGCTGTACCAATTGTTTAAAAATGACTTCAGAACTGATATTATATAATATTTTGCACTAGTCTCAGTGATTAATGTTGCCTGGTCCTTTATGAACCTAGTTATACTTGATTTTCTATCAGTTAATTGGAAAAAAAAAAACAAGAACATCCCTACGATGGCCGATATCAGCCATGACAGTTTACATACAAATTTAAGGGTAGCGTGTCAGTGAATTGTTTCACATGGCAGTCTAACCTTAAAGCAAAGTGGCAAAATGTACAAGCTGTCATTCCGTGATGTCAAGTTACTGTGGCAAGATATACACTTTGCTTTTCGTAAAGTGTACAGCGTGTTCATACAACTTTGCTTGATGGCACTTTACCCTTAAGTGCAATTAAAATACTTTGTATCCCAAAAACAAATAAATGAATAAGTAAAAAAAAAGATAAGATCAACCAACCAGCATGAGAAACTATTAACATAGAGAAAGTGCAGTTTCTGAGACTTTATTGTGGTCGCAATCGGGGCCAAAATGATTATTAACAAATGCGTATATCCAATTAACTTATTGGTGATATACATGTATGAACCTTTAACTATGTAGTAGAATGTATTTTAATTAACCTTAAACATGTGGCTATATACCTGCTGCCTAATCTATTTATGTATTTATTACATAATAAAATATGTTCAAATCTATCGTCCTGAGTGTCAGTAAAGGTCAATTTTTGGAGCCCATCACCGGTATATTGTGACTTCATTATATGAGTGAAAAATGTTTGAATGGATAGTATAAAATCAATCATTCAATCAATCACATTATCATTTCATTCCTTTGAAATTTTTTTTTCACAAAGCTTTCAAGTTACGTTTTGATAAAAAAAAAAATGGATGACGAAATGAATCCTTAGAATACTAAGAAGGTAGATAACACCTGCAAAGCATTGCCATATTACAAGAAGTTTAGAAAACTCGTTATTTTTGTTTATTTTAAAATCTTTATTTGTTTTAGGGGGAGGGGGCATTCACTTGGTAGAGGTGTAAGGTATTATTCAGATCGCGTACTTTTGTAGCTGTTCAAAGGACCTTTTGGGGGAGGCATGAGATATATACTATAAATATCCTTACTTTCACAAAAAATCATTTTATAGTTTTACACAAAGTTAACGTTTATAATATGTATGTTAATATAATGATATATGTTTGTAATCCCCCGTTTATTGCAACCGAAATAAATGTCTCAGAAAGCGAACTTTCTCAATGCTAATAGTTCCCCCATGCTGGTTGGTTGATCTTATCTTATCTTTTTTTTAATTTATTCATTTATTTGTTTTTTGGATATAAAGTATTTTAATTGCACTTAAGGGTAAAGTGCCATCAAGCAAAGTTGTATGAACACGCTGTACACTTTACGAAAAGCAAAGTGTATATCTTGCCACAGTAACTTGACATCACGGAATGACAGCTTGTACATTTTGCCACTTTGCTTTAAGGTTAGACTGCCACGTGAAACAATTCACTGACACGCTACCCTTAAATTTGTATGTAAACTGTCATGGCTGATATCGGCCATCGTACATCCCACATACATTTGGGATTTCATACGAAAGTTAACGTCAGGTTTTTAGAATAATTTGTATGATGGAAACTGCAGGTACACACATGTTAATAATTTCACCTGCTGTGCACAAAAAGCCCAAAATAAAGATATTGGATTTGCCATTATTCACCTTGTGGTATTGAGTCCGTAAATTGATATTTTTGTTATGATGCATTATATATGTACGTCCCAGTAGTTGAACAGAGAAATGTTTATTATAATAACAAGAAATATATAATTTAGTGGAATAAATTTGCAGACAGAAATCAACAACAACATTTTCAATAAAAGAAAATAAGAAAATTTATTCAAATGAAATCAAAATAATATTAATTTAATTTCTAAATTCAAAGAAAGGTAAAAAAAAAAAAAAAAAAAAAAAACTATACCGTAACATGAATAAACACTTTATAAAATGTTAACTCTAGAACTCAAAAAACAATGTATGTTTCAATATTCAACGGAATCTTTTATAAAAATTAAAATCCTATTATATCGTATTTTCACTAACAGTTAGAGGAAAATGCATAATGTCTTAGCTTGCAAACGGTTGATAAAAGCAAAAACATTTATATAAAACAGAACGAGCTGTATTGTTATTTCATTTATGTTGTTGTGGGGCACCTGCGCCATGCGTGGCAAGAACAACATTGTGGGTACCACCTGGAAATCAGTCGGAAACCACAGCTTGGGCATCACACCCAAAACCTCAGCTTGGTCCATCAGGTTGTGAAACACCGGCTCTTGTAAACTATATTCCTGTAGCAATCACTACAATCACACAAAGGTGAATTAGGAAATTAGTAAAACGCAAAGTAATTATGTTTAAAGATGTTTTAGGCTAAAAATAATATACCATTAGCAGGAATTTACATGTATAATCATTGACGCGTTTAACACGTTTAGAGTTGGTCTGTACATTTTCTTAATTTGATTTTGATGCATCTACTCTTGTAATATAATCTCTCGTAACAACCACTCATGCAGATGCTAACAATAAATGCAAAATAAGAAAATGTTATATAGGTAAAATTATGAGAGTTTTCTTTTTCGTAGTGAATGAAAATATGTTTGATTATTTCATTTTTTTTAAGATGAGAAAATGTGTACACAGTTCTCTCGCTGGATATAGTTCAACATTTCAAAAAGCCCCATATGGTGAATTTTTGAAGTTTTAAATTAAATGTTTCTTTTTTAAATCCACACTTTAATCTAATTTCAAAGTTAACCAGAATACACCCGATAGACCGGACGCATTTCATAGCGCTCCGGATTGTTCTCTTTAAAAATGTGTATAAACTTCAAATTTAACATGTAACACTGTAGATATTTAGTTTTTGTTACTAGTAGTTTATTAGCAGTGTTAGAATTGTTTTGATTCTTCATTTCATTTGTTTTTTACTAATTCTCAACTTTTCTCTTTGTCCTGAGGAAGAGACAGGTCTTCCCGAAAATTTGACTATATTCCTGTTGAGTAAAAAAGTCATACCTTCCTCCACAGATTGCGTAGGTCACCCTCTGTTGTCTTGGATGCACAACATAGCACGTTTCGCGGTTTAAAACAAGGTATGTGATGAAAACTAGTCTCCTTGGACAAGTGTCAATTGCCACGAATAAGCTGTTTAAAGATTTAAAAAAATTATGAACTATTCAATTTCATAAACATGTTCTAGTATATTAATATTATAGTAGGAGTGGCAATTCGATGATAACTGACTAACTTTGGTATGGTTGCTAATCTCGTGGCGGATATTTCGTTCACTGAAATGTTGACTTCAGTATTATTACTCAAGGCAACATCAATTTTCTTCCTAGAACATAAAACCATAATATAAATATTTTATAAAACTGAAGATATTGCTTCATAAATGATCCCTTTACCCTTCATAAGGATAACAATTTTTAATTTTTTTTCTGAAATGTTTTCATTGAAACGAAGGTGAAAAGATAAAAAAGGGGAACCTCAGATGTTTATTAATAAGAAATCAGAAATCACAATTTCATATAATACATACATATCTACACTCAATCTCCCATTATTATTATCATTTTTTAGATCAGTTGCACCATACATAGGTATAAAAAAAAAAGAAACAAGTTGGTGAAACAAGGATTTCAGCAGTCTCGTTGAAAGTCATCATTTCTTAATGACCTTGTCAGCAAATACTATTCATTGTTGAGTCAAATGCTGACTGACGTTTCTCATACTAATTATTAGTCCATTATTTTCACTGAATTGACGACGGATTTTTCCGTTATTTCCCGATCATGAAAAGGAGCAAACAGCGGGTGTGACCGAACGGTAAGGGGTGTTCACTCCTCCATGGCACCTGATCCCACCTCTGATGTTTTGGAGGTCCGTGTTTGTTCTGCTCCTATTTTGTATTGTTTTATGGACTTTTGATCTTGAATACTGTTTGTAATCTCCATATGTTTCATTTATAGGTTTTAATCAAATCTTATGAGTTACATACCACAAAATATATATTACATACAGGCCTCCACAACGATTTGTGAAAATTCTAGCGATACATTTTCATCTAAAATTAATATCGTCAGGTATTCTTTTTAAAGATAACTGAATATCTTACTTTTACGTAGTTTTGCTTATATTTGTGATTCTTTATTTTTTTTATATTTAGTTTAAAAACTTTTCTTGAAGACAAACAATGCACTATTCGCTTTATATTTCGCAACATCTAAACTAGTTTTATTTTATAGATTAAAACAGAGAGGCTTTTCCCCCGAAGATATTTTGGATAAAGTTTCATGAACATTTTGCATGTAATTTTTTCCCGAATTGATCTTTTCAATGATTACTTAACCTGTCTATGACTTAAAAGAAAGTGAAAACAATGATGAAAAAAGGGTTTAACACCCATTTTGGCTGAGAGTTTGCATTTTATGTTTATGAGAGTAAGATCAGTTCATTACTTACATAATATAAGTTGTCTGGGATCGATTTCCCCCATCAATCTTTCTCTCTACTGGATCTTCTAATCGGCATATACTCTCCAAACCATAGGAATACACAAAACACGCCACAAAGACAGCAAGTATGTAAGTCTGAATAAAAAAACCCAGCATAAATGTTTTTCAATTTATTTAATTGTTATACCATATGCCATTGCATTATTTATCCAGAAATGAATAAAATTAGAGTCATTTTATTTGTTTAACTGACACCCCCCCCCCATAATAATAATAACAATAATAATAATAATAATAATAAATTACAAAAAAAAATTCAGATCTTTTGTAAAAAATCTTTAAAAAGAATTATTACTTTTTCTTTGAAAGAAATAAGTCTTACCTTCATTTTCTTTATATTTCTGCAGTTGATGCAGTTTTGATACAGATTGTTTGATGATAATGTTTATAGCGAAAAGTGACAACGTTTTTTGCATAGTTTAGCCAATCACAATTTATAAATCTGAACAGGATATTGTCCATTTTCGGATAACCAAACATCTAAAATAACCGGCATAATAAATAAATCATAGTTACGTAAAGCACATTTAGGAAACCAGAAATTAAATTATCAGTGTTAAATCTACAGTTTTGTGTATTCAGTATATAAATATTTGAGAAGAAATAAGAGTGGAGATAGAAAACACATTTAAATTATAAAATGATTTTACTACAATAAATGGAATTTAAGAGAAGAACACAATTGATTTTTTTATATTCATAAATAAAAACTTAAAGGTAATATAGATGGAATATATGAAATCAACAAACAGTATTCGAACTCAAAACTCTATAAAAGTCTTGAAAAATACGAACTCCTAAAACATCAGAGGAGGGATCAGAAATCATCTAGAAGTGACTATATATCCTATGCCGACCGGTTACACCCGCCGTGTGCTCCTTGTCATGATCAGAAAACAACGGGAAACTCTGTCGACAATTCAGTATGTAAATAAGAAGGAATCTCACACAAAAATTTTATTTCATAGATCTTTAAGACATCACTGTTAAATTATGGTTTCCTCATTGACAATCTCTTATCGGCAAAAATACAAACAAACAAATATCCTTGAATTATGTTTACTTATTTATTGAAAGTATGTGTTCCTTATTACAAAGAAATTGACCGGAATTTTCCGGAAAAAGTCAAAATACTTTATATAATAAGAGCCAATTTTGGTCCCCTAAAAATCAACAATTTGTTATGATACTCAGATATATTTAATTGATATTTATTTTGTCCCGAAAAAATCAGGTCGAGCAAAAATTGATACGCTTGCCTTTCAAGAACATCTCTGGATAATGGTTTTGTTGGAAAGATATTGCAGACTAGATGACCAATAGATACTTTCAACTGGATAGATACGATAATGTAAATAAAAAGTTCGTTTCATAATGTCTTCATTAAACAAAAAAGGGGTACACCTGTAATTGAAAAAGCGACTAAATGGGAAGTTCTTTTTAAGAGGATGCAAATGGTAGAGTTTACAAATATAGAAGAATAATTTCCCCAAGGTGTTCTAATGGATACATCCTAATGGTGTTGACATTTACTTACATTTACATTAAGTTTCTTTTGGATATTGATACATTTATAGTCTGACACATCTCTGTTTTATTTTACTTGAAAAAGACATTAATGTTAATCTAACAGCCAAGCCTTATGATAAACGTGATGACTTTTACTTTTCAGGTCGTCAATTTCCATTACTTATGCAGCAATTATATCTTCATCACATCTACACAGGGTTTATATCTCTCAGTTGATTTGATACACGAGGATATGCTCTATGTACCCAAACTACAAAGATAGAACATCAGCAGTACAATCACACAAATGGCAGAATAAGAAAGTAATTTTCACACTCACCAATGCTTTATAGATGAGGAATTGATAACCTTTGTTTTTTAAATATCCCTTCAAGAAATACACAATCTGAGTTCCTCAGTCTGCTACGCTAAAACAAACGTTCTAACTGAGAGACACTATGACGACAGGACATGACTGAGACAACTATCAGGATCTGGACTACTGTACAGCTAATTAAGCAACAGATTCTGGGGTTAGGATCTTACCTGAACAGCATTATTTACGAATAAATGGAACCTTAGCCTCCAAATAATCCAGTTGTCAGAGATTAAACCCTGAGTTGCATAGCTAAGCTAAGCGGAACGAGCAACAGAAATTTCAGCCGCTTGGTATTTTAATGGTTTCGTTTACGGACAGTGTGGAGAGAAAAGACTAAAATTTTATATTTCATAATGACGATCAAGATAAAGTCCTGGAAAAAAATTTATAGTTGGCGACAAGAAAAAACTTCCGGTAATGTGCAACACTGGTGAGGAAAAAAAATATACCTGTAGCTATTTCAGTTAACGCCCTTATTCCTTAGAAAAGTGACATTTTTATTGTACCGAATGGCAGGAGGATAAAAACCTAATCCATTACTGTATAACTTATATCTTATATTTCATAATAGTGCAGCCAATGTTGCTTCCCCTTCCCTGTATCTTTCCTAATATCAGATCATTATTCCCTTGACAGAAATAGCTTTTCTGTTTGTTCTTTTACACTTTAATGGCTTCACAGCAGTGAACCAATGACAATTGGAAGTAATAGTTTGAGTAAGTAAGAGTTTTTTAAAAATAAATTTCGCTAACAGAGGCGTAGCCAGGGTATATTTGATGTGGACGCCTGGATAGGCTGGGGGTTTGGGGGTCGCCTTAAGGCCCCCAATGCCTCCAGGGCGAAGCCCTGGTGGGGGTGGTGAATTTTCGACAATTTCGATGTGCATGTTTGAACCTTCTGAAAGCATTTTCGTACACCTTTTCTGTTTGTTATGCAGCCACATTTAAGGTCTGTTCTTTCCTTGTATAAAAAGCGGATAGTAACTTAAAAATGAGAAAAGATCTGTCCAAAAGCGAACCCACTAAAACAATTTTAGACTTGAAGCTCGACAAAATACGTATGGTAACATACGGTAGTTGGTTAGGGTGGTTGACTTGTTTAGACAGACCACGTAATTGACTGATAGTCAGGCTTACATTAATATTGAAATTACATCTCTAAAAGATTGAAAATAACAAAGACAGAAGAATTCTTTTCAACGCATTTCTCTTGCACATTACCTATGTACATTGTATACATTTTAAAATGAATGTTCATAAATATTCACAAATCTAGTATCTTAAACTTTTTGCAACAATTATAAAAACATGTAAAATATACTACTAGTTTTAAGATAGTGTTACGGATGCCTTATCAGGGGCGGATCCAGGAATTGAAGTTAAGTGGCGCAAAATTTAGGCAGGGGGACTGGGGGCCTCCTTGAGGGCTGGTGGGGGCCAGGGGGCGAAGCCCACAGAAGCTCATGGATTCTAGAAGTTTTGTAGGGTAAAAATGATGTCTACCAAGTACTGCGAGTAGAGATTTTAATCCTGAATTTTCTCGACAAAACTATGTATATGCTAACTTTGACAATTTTAGGGTTGCGCCCTTACATCCGCCACTGCTTATTATTTTTTTTAAAGGTTAAACTGAATTTACCAATCTTTCAATTTTTGATGTTCATATATAAAGATGAATAATGATTTTTGAAGTCTCCCATGAATCCGATATTACTGAGGTTAAAATTTGGGGGGGGGGGGTATCGTTACAGAAGTTAAGCATTGCGGTTGGAAGGTAATTTCCATTAAGAGAAATTGAAATTTTTGGCATTAAATGAAATTATCGTTTCTTTTAAGGAACCGACTTGGGTTTTATTGTGTGACATCTACAATAGAGAAAGCCTTTAAGAATGTAATAATTTTTTACACTACGCTTTCCATTATTACGCCTGTCTCGCTCTTTTCTCATTTCTTTTCTTTTCTTTTTTCTTTCCTATTGTTTTTTTTTTTAAAATGATGTGGACGTTTTTGCGTACAAAAGTACGCCTGGCTACGCGCCTGGCTGAAGTGAAAATCATTTTATTGAAGATATTTTGAAGAAAGTATACTTCCAATGAATAGTATAACATATGCGATATTTTTTCAGATATTCATTTAAAATCTAGAGGCAGCAGATATGTTAATGCATTTTTGACTAATGGTCACATATTTCTTATTTCTAACCCAGTACTTTGTTCTGTATAATTTAATGTACAATTGTATATTGTATGATTTAATGAGAATAATGCTTATTATTTTCATGTTTTGGGCTTTACTTAGAAATGACAGATTTCATGTTGAAATCTTTCTCTTAATTTTTATGTGGAATAGCTACCACCCTCAATTGTTTATTTAAATAAAACGTTAAAATCATTTTGTGGTGGGTTAGCTAGATCTACTCAAATTTAGAAATAAGAACTTGATATTTACTAGATTCGTGTGCGAGAATGAGATGTCACATAATAAGTATCACATAATTAGTGATGGTCAACTTTTGATTAAGTGCTTTTTTTATATAGTTATTGATTGGGAAAGAGGGGATGTTAGCAGAAATAAGAGGCGATACAGGCTGTAAGTAGTAGTGCAGTCTTCCTAGGGGTCTTCCCAAACATCATATCAGAAATCCAAAGTAAGGGGTAATGTAGTTTTCGAGTTATTAATGAAAGCATTAAATTTATTGATAGACAACAATTTTAACATTCAGGAGTTTTACAAAAAGAGTTCTTTGACAACAATTAGCAAAATTAGTTTCATTTGAAAAGTTTTGATAAGATATGAAACAAAAATAAATCAAATCGTGTAATTACATAAATGTTTTCTTATAAGATGATATTATTTTTCTTTATTATTCTAAGCTCTCTAGCACATTGGCTTAAACTTCATCATATGATCAAGTATATATATATTATTATAACAGTAACTTGATCCGAAGGGTCGTATCACGTCGAGTTGACAGGCGCGGATCATCAGATCTAACGAGACGCGAAGCGTCGAGTTTGATCTGATGATCCGCGACTGTCAACGAGACGTGATACGGCTCTTCGGATCAAGTTACTGTTAAAATGATAAATTTATTATCTACCCCCTCATAACTAGCAAAATATAGCAAAAGAAAACTTTAGAGATCAATTGCATAACATTTATCCATAAAACAAAGCATAATAACAAGGGACTTTTTAACGCGCAAGAAAAATAACGTCATATTTCTGCGTACTATGTCATCAGTTTCAGAGAGTGGTGATATGGATTCAGAAAACCATAGTGTGGTGATCTGGAAAGTCGGATCACAACGTCACGTGATTGTGTTAAATCAACAGTAAAATTGTGTGATACACATTAGGTATATAATAAAAACAGTATAAACGGATCTACTACGTAGATACACGGTTACGGATGGAAATTTATGTACCTACAGTCTGTGCA